TCTCTCCACCACACTGTTGGAATGCTCACATTCGCTCGCGCGTCGGGTGGTATTCCTGTTCCCTATGTACCCTACTTTGAAGATTTTGGATTATGGCCGATGGGCTACTGGCATGGCTTGGAATGGATGGGGAGTTGGAGGCACACCAATCGAGGCCTTTGAGCCCTTATCTTGGACACCGGCGTCGCGGTAGGCTCTTTGAGCATTGGAGGCGTCCAAAAAGGCCAAAAGTGTACACTGTATATGTAGGATAATTCTGTATACAGATTTTGGAGTGGCGGGCGGAGGTAGATACCATGAATAGGACTCAGAATCCTGATGATCAATAATTATGCATCTTCCTACTTACCACTTAGTGACTGTGAGACATGACAATCTCGGCATGCAGACCCAAATTTCGCCAGCGGCGTGGTTATTAAACTAAGGTTTGAGCGATTCTTCTAGAAGGATCACGACGCCGTTTCTTTTAATATTACCAGCTCCACCTGTTTTGTTTCCTCGGAGGTTAATGTGGCGGACGAGGGATGAAGTCGTAGGGGTCCGGGGGCCCGCTCCTCATATAAAGGCCTGCGAGTTTACCACCGCACTGGAGTGGATAACAGATTGTTCCTGATTCGACTCGGTTTCTGACTGTCTCCCAAGGACCGGTGTTTTGGGACCTGGGCTGTGGAGATGGGGATGGGTGGTGCCCTGTTAGTGTTTATGAAGCGGGAGGTGAGATGTGATGGTTGGAAGACTCCCTGGGTAGTGGTGTTGGGATAGTATTGCTGTGGGATAAATGGGATAAATGAAGGACGGTGGATAGGGGGTGTGGGAAGGGGGAGGGGTGGGTAGTTCGTGGGTGGGTTTTGATGGGTGTGAGGTTGGCGTTGGCGCTGTGATGATGTTGATGTTTCTTTCAAGTAACGGATGCAGCAAACAAGGACAATTTGGTAAGGAGAATGGCTTGTGAAGGGAGGGTTGCTGGGTTTATATGCTGTCTGTGAAAGCATCATTCAGGATTCAGGATAAAGGCCACGTTGGAGGGGGCCCTTCAGGGCGGTTGTTGGTGACCGTTCATTTGTCTCCAACTTGATTCATGATGGTTGTCATTGTGATGGGGGTCGTCGCTCTACATATAAGTATGTATGGGTGTGAAGGATGCAACAGCTGGCAAGGTAATGGGCGTTCCCATCTCCGATAAGAAATTGCGATGCCGGCAATGGGATGCTGTTGGCTTCTCTTGACCTGTTCTGTATGTGCTATGGTACGACTTTGGACGTTCAGCTAGTCTTTGGATAGCATGGCGTCATTGCTGGGCGCGATTGTCGTTCGTGGATGTTGGGTGAATACGAGCATGCTGGACAACGCGGCTTACCTGATGATATATGATATCGCTTGACTTGGTGAGCAAAGGGTGAGGGACTGCATTAATGAGACGGGTGAGAATCAGCAAGCGCCTAGGATAGCATATGAGAAGCTCATTACGTTCCATTAGATATTAAGCAGAAGCTTTTCAGGTCAGTTAGTTTCTTAAATAGCACTCTCGGGTGTACCACAGGCATAAGGCATTATGATGTTTCTGGCACTGTCTATTTAAGGGAGTAGATGGAAACCGCTCAAGTGCTTTTCGGCGCGCAATGGGTGTTCGAAAGTCTCGTTGCAATGTTGATCGCGTTGGCAATTGGTGGTGGTATGCGTGCGGATCACAAAGTCAACAGGTTAGAAGAGTCGCTCAGTCCTCTCCATATTCTGCAACATGCGTGCAGTCTCTGTTATTAGTGGTCTTTGTCTTGAATGTATTCGATTGAATAGTTCCAGGATGCCCGCAAAGAAGCTAAATTGCTTTGATTTGGGTCTTGTCTTGGGCGCTTTTGGAACGAGAACAAGGACGCACATAGCAAACTGTTTAGGAAGGCGAAACAAACATGGACGAATTGTCTGCTCTTCTTTTGCGGCTGCGCTTCTAAATCAAGCTGCGCACTGAAGCTATCAATGAGCATGCGTGCTGGATGTCTGCTGGGAAATAGATCTCTCTTTCCAGAGGGAATTTGATATCAAAGGGGACGACTATGAAAGTAGCATAGAAAAAAATGCTTTCGCAATAAAACATTCTCATCAAGACAATGAAAAGGTGATCATCACTCTGTGCAAGTCAGAGAAGCTAGTGGCACATTGCGAAGCTACATGAACGGAAGATGCCTTGTGGAAAGTTAGCTCAGCACCCAGTATGTTGTCACACCTATCTACAATATCTTTTGCTGTATGCGCATTAGATATGATTACACAGATGAGGATGGAGATAGTGTTGAGCTTTTAAATTGATTAGAACTGAAATTGCTTGCTTGGATTCCCTCGGAAGTAGTGACCGCTTTACCCAGCTCAAGGCGTGATCTCCATCAAGGTATCCGATACGTTGCTCGCTTCCTAATTATTAACCCAGAAAAAAAGGTGTTCAGAAGCAGGCCCGTATCTGTGATTTTTGCGTCTACTTATTAGGGCACGTAAATTCGAGGCACCTCCCCCTTGGCCGGCTTGTACTTTCCTTCGGCAACGCGCTTATTATGCAAGGTGTAGATGATGACCTGCAGTATGGCGAACCCCATCCCAATCGAGACCATAATTATCTGAGTCCTCAAGCCGGTCTGATAACTGCGAAAGAGTGAGTCGTAATCCTTTGAAAATGCTCTGTGGACTCACAATGGTGTGTCGTTGCCTCGGTAATACTGCGTTCCGACCATCAGGCCACTGATGGAAAGCATCACCCACATTCTATGCCACATATCAGCATTGGATCATGAACTTGCGCCATAGACAGCATCGACCTACGCAATACTGATACTCCTCTCTCCTGGCTCGCGGCAATTCAGCTGCACCCATGAGTTGTTGGCTGGATGGTACCCCACAGCGAAGCTATTGACGGCTGTCCAAAGACCCCAGCGGGACCACTTGCCCACATGAGGATGGGCAGTCCTCGCCACGATTAGGACGATAAGATAGCAACTGTGTGCACCGATTACCGACAGGCCGCGATTGTTAGTCTTGTCACTAATCCAGGCGACTATGAAAACGACTACAAGCGCAAGAGAGGCGCCGACGGCGGCAAGAGCGTTAGCTTGTATGCGGTTGAAGCCGAGGTTCCTGCAAGACTCCTGATTAGCACAATGTCCTCGGCCCAGATTTCGTGCTACTTGCATGATAATAGTTGGCGTGTAAGTTGTCAAAGGACTCCAGGTGGAGAAGACGGCGAAGCTACTCAGAAAATGGGGCCATCGTTGCCAATGCAAAATCGTCTTGAGCACAAGTTTTGGCGGGATATGCATTCCTTGCGCGCCATGTCGCTTCTCCTTGTCATCGAACTCGAGTCGGCGTTGAATGATGGCTCTTTCCGAGCCTTTGAAGCGGACGAGGCCTTGGCTCAAAAGGGGATCAGGGGTATCGGGAGATCCAGGGAGGAGGAACAATAGGGAGAGTCCCACGAAGACAGTGAACACTCCCTCAACTGGACTCATGTTAGTTGAGTCGCAGTAGCAACCCGCGAAATATTAAACTCTTCAAGCTAAACGTTTAAATCTGGTTGAGCTTACTGAGAAAGAGCCACTGCCAGCCTCTCAAACCCCGTGCGCCCTCAAGCTTGAGTATGCCAGATGCCAGCAGGGGACTCAAAGCATTGCCACTGAACATACCAAAGAAGAAAACAGCGACCCGCTTTGCGAGCTCTTTCTTCTTATACCATGTCGACAGTGTGTAGCAGGCACCTGGTATATAGCCTGCCTCTGCCAGACCGAGAAACATTCGCGATGCCAGAAAGCCCTTTCGATCGCGGAGAAATATCTGAAGGGTCGCAACCAAGCCAAATAGCATGACTTGAGCTGATATGTACTTGCGAGGGCCAACCTGAATGATATCAATATGAGTAGTGTTGTTCATGAACAAGCACCTGTTACTCACTTTTTGAAGCAGCATATTGGACGGGATTTCCAAAATCACAATGCCTAGGAACATCAACTGATTTCCGAGATTGATTGTGTCCTGATCCACTCCGATATCCTTCGCAAAACCACCAGTTAGAGCACTCGCCAGGTTCATGCGATCCAGCTGAAAGACAAGCAGCCCCAGATATAGCAACGGCAGCACTGAGCCGTCAATCCTGCGAGCGAGTTAGCGATCTCAGATCGTGTTCTTGGCCTCCTCATATGGCGAAACACACTTCCTCCTAGCTTGAGTTTCCTCATGGTTCGTCCAATTCTGTTCAGATATCGGCGTTGCAAAGCCGGGTGAATCGGCCAGTTGAAGCTCCTGCTTTGCTTCCGCCATCGTGCAAGGTGAGCTTCCGAATTGCAATGTCGGCGTCAGATTTGATAGGATGGGGCGAGATTAACTACTGGGCCGAACGACGGGGGCTGGTCTCGTCTCTGTTCGGTATTTGCCCTCCAGACGCTCAGTCTCTTGCATCATCTCTCGGCAGGTGCCATATCCACTTGTGACCAATTGGAAGGCACATCGATTAACTCCTGAAAGACATTCCACAACCTTTTGCCGTCGACCCTCTTAGTCGCGGTGCCGCGCTCTTGGGACCATCACGCAATAGCCCCCAACGTCCATTCAGCAGCGTGCCATGCCGGCCAAACATGGGGTATCGGGCTAGATGCTGCCACCGAGTTGAAGATTCTCCACATTTCTCCGGACGTGACTGACAATCCTACCGAGCACGCCATCTTTCACCATCGCGCCAAGACGAACGCCGGTCTCTTATCTGGTGATATCGGGGTTTGAACCAAAGAGCTCATTTAATTGAACATTGAAATTCTCCTCGTTCGAACCCAGGTCCGTGTCTCTGGGATTCTAAAGGAGATCCAATCGGGAACCCGTGCATCCTTGAAGCGCCTTGTTGAGGGCTCAAACACCGGGGAAGCTAGTTCTTTTATACGCGATATGCACCTTAACCCAGCCGATTCCGTCGCCAAACTCAAACCGAGATCCTCGAAGTGTTTGGCTCTCGCCAGTCTAGGTGACTCAGAATGGTAGCTGCAAAGCGCGTCGCTGTCATCGGAGCTGGCCCCGCCGGTGCCATCACCATCGATGCTCTTGCGCAGGAGAAAGCATTTGATGTGATCAGAGTCTTTGAGCGGCGAGAAGGCCCTGGCGGATGCTGGTGAGCACGACAAAAATATTCGTCAACGAAGAAGCAGCGCTAATATTAATCGACTTGTAGGCTTGGGGAAACGAAGCCACCGCCAATTCTTCAGCCCGATGAACTCAATCTCCTCGGCACACGCACAGCAGATCCCCCATGCCCTTCCATTCCCTTCACACTCCCAGCCCAGACCCCAAAGCTTCCGACTCCTCGGTATGCTGAGTCTACAGTATATCCGTATCTCGAAACCAACGTCGACTTCTTGCCGATGCAGTTCACCCAAGAGCCATTCCCACAAAAACAGTCAGATTGGTCTGTTTCTGTGCACGGCGCCGATACGCCCTTCCGGCACTGGTCACTAGTGCAAGATTATGTCCGATCTCTTGTCGAGAGAAGAGGCTACCAAGACTTCGTGGAGTACAACACCACTGTCGAGAAAGCTGAGAAGGATGAACGCAGTGGGGAGTGGAGGCTTACTCTACGCAAAGACGGTGAGAAAACAGATTACTGGTGGGAGGAGAGGTTCGATGCTGTCGTTGTGGCATCAGGGCATTACAGCGTGCCTTACATTCCATTGATCCCGGGTCTTGGGGACTTTGCAAAAAGGAAACCTGGAAGTGTGATCCACAGCAAACACTTCCGTGGCCGTGATGCTTACAAGAACAAGGTGAGATGCGTGAGACCATTTCATGACTATGAGAAATGAGGACTGACTAGTGTCCGCAGAGAGTTGTCGTTGTAGGCGCTTCTGTTTCTGCAGCAGACATCGCCTTCGACCTGACCTCGACTGCTCAAGCTCCGGTGTATGCTGTGACTGTTGGCCACAACTTCAACGGCTACTTCGGTGGGGAAGCATTCAACCACCCGAAGATTACGAAGGTTCCCTCCGTGTCGCATATCGATCCTAGAACCCGCACCGTACACTTCGCCGACGGCACTTCCGTCGCTGATGTTGACAACATCATTTTTGGAACTGGCTACACCTGGACCTTGCCCTTCTTCGATTCGTTCAACAGTAGTAGAACAGCGCCAAAGCCAAAGAATAACCGAGTGCCGGACTTGTATCTGCATGTCGTCTATCGGCCAGACCCGACTTTGCTCTTTGTTGGGGCTGTCAATGCCGGCTTGACCTTCAAAATCTTTGAGTGGCAAGCTGTATTGGCAGCTAGAATACTCGCTGGACGGGCGAAGTTGCCACCAGTGGAAGAGCAGAAACAATGGGAAGATGATCGCGTGGCAAAGCGTGGGGACGGAGCCAAGTTTGCTTTGGTGTTCCCTGATTTTGAGAAGTACTTTGAGACTGTCAGAAAGCTTGCTGGTCCTGCAAGTGGCCGGGGCAGAGGACTTCCACCATTCAATAAGTTCTGGTTTGAACGATTTATGGCCGGCCATGAGCGACGTAAAGAAATGTGGAGGAGGCTGAATGCGGAGGCCAGGGAGACTTCAGAGCAAGGAAAAGTAAGGGAAGTTCGCGCCAAGTTGTGATGGCACTTAGTCGCAAACGATGACATACACATCCGCAGATGCTGAAACCTCAGAAATATTGTGCAATGGGAATGTCTGGTCTAGAGACGTTTCTATTGTAAATTGTTCGAAGTATGTATATTATACAAAAGGCCAACATCACTACTTATTCCTTGGGTATCAAGATTATTCTATAAATCGCCACAATTAACGTCCTGCTCCATGTGAACAGTCCCAAAATAAGAACGCCTTTGATGCTGTAACTCCAATGCCCTTCAAATCAACTTGCAATCAACTTGAACTTGTGTTTGACGAAACGCCACCGTCACCACTGCCACCGCTGCCACCGCTTGAACCCATGCCCGAATCCCCTGACTGATGGTTCGAGTAAGCCGGAGGCGGCCCATCATAAAGGGAAGAGTCTCTGCCGTTGTAACCAGCGGTATAGGTGTATCCTCCCTCTGATGTGCCGTATTGAGGACCTGGGAATGTTCCTTGGCCCATACCGGTCTTCCTAAGCTTGTTTTTCTGCGCTGGGCCCTCATTGGAGGTGGCTATCCTCATATACATTTTCATGTATTCAGTCTGCCTCTTCTTCATTCGTTTCCTCGCGCAAAATATGCAAGTCACAAAGACGACTGCCATGGAAACCGCAACGCAGCCGAAGATGATCGCAGGGAACGCAGCGGGTGGGCCGGAGCTCGGACTCCCTGTGTCGTTGAAGTCGCGTTTGATAGAAGGGGATGGCTGTAGCAAATTCAAAAGATCGGCTGCGGAGCTGATGTCCGCCGACCTGATCACGGGCATCGTAGCTTAGATTGTAGGCTTCGGGGCCGCGTATGTGCCGACGTGGTATTTGTCGTGGACTTTGGAACGATGATGGTAGCAAGCGGCAACTTAGATGCGCAAGATTGGTTGTTATAGAATCAATTTGGAACAGCTTAAACTTGCAAAGAAGTCTTCGTAGCGTTTTGGTGGCAATCAATGAAGACATATATGCCCAGGAAGCAATTGGGAGAGGCAGGGCTGACTCGTTGGCTGTTGGTTCCTTGAGGATTCCAAAACTCGTCTAAGCCCTACGATCACTGCCTCATTTAGGCTCACAGAACATTCCAACACATGGGCAAGGGGCAGACTAGCGGCACTTTAAGACCTTTCGTGCACCGAAGGATTCAACAAAATTGTGTCACGGGGGTTTCGATTAGGATAGGCTACTTCAAAGTGCAAAAGTCATTATGAGGCCCAGACGGCCACTCGGGCGACTAGCTTAGGCTCCTTCCCCCACACTCAGCCACCGCCAAGTACGACCGCACACTGAGACCTGCACCGCCCAGTCGCCCGGCTTTCGTGCGCTGAAATATTTAATGAATACCAAAGTCTGCAAGTCCATAATGCCCGGTAGTACAGTACAGGCGACACAACTTTTTGGAATTACTTTCGACGTTCCCAACTTGTATTGATTCGTTGGCTTCCGTGTAACAGTAAAGATTGCAATCGTCCTCCCTGAAAACGAAAGTCCTTAATTGAGAGAAGATTTTGCATGATCTATACAAGTGTTCCAGTATTCTAAAATGAACGGAGCGCAGCGGTTGAGATTGTTAGATTCACTTACACATGAGACGAACCGTGATCGTAGAGAACAGACGAAGTCGCGAGTCGCACAGTGGTGTACAAGCTAAGAGTCAAATTTCTCTGATTGCTAAAAGTATTTACAACGAAATCCCGCCCATTTGTCATTTAGGGGTTGGTGAGAGTAAATGCAATATCGCCTGTGCTTGCGCCACCAACACAGGTTGACTTGAAGCTGCCAGTTGGGCAAGTAGCGCGGGCCGCGCGAATGCAACCCTCCCAACGGCCCTTAGAAACATTGAGTGTAGCGCCAGAGCTGGTCGGGTTCAAGGTGAACTTGGCTGTACCCGATACGCCGGTTGTGCTCTTCGGCGCACCGCCGCATTTCTGGATCGAACCCTGGATGCCACCGCAGATGGCGAGGGTGGCAACGTTCATGTCGTGGGTATCGATTTTGCTACAACCTCGCGTTAGTCTTACAAGTTCCTGCTCAGGTTGTTGGAGGAGGGGTACTTACGCAGCCCTGTCGGTGCAAGTGGTGTCCTTGACAGCGGCAGGGTTGACGTCCTTGTTGGCGCGGATCTCCAGAGCGACATCGTTAAGAGTAGGAGCGGGGACGGCCATGGCGAGGCCAGAAAGAGCCAAGAGGCTTGCGGCGAAAGTAGACACTAGCATATTGGGTTGTTTTGATTTAATGATTGAACACGGTTGAAAATAGAGTTATTTTGACAGAAGAAAGTGGAGTCGCAGCTTTGGGCCTGCCAAGAGTAGAATGAACAAACAAGATGAATTGGTACCTTCTGGCCAAGACTACGGGAGCACGCAAACTAATAAATCTGAGATCGGAATGTTGAGCCGGGTACTTTGTGTGGAGGCAGGGCTGCCAGAGCATGATCGGCAGGCCCGTCTGATCGTGTGAAGTGGTGTTCCATCAAGGAATCTTCTGAGACGGGAACAGTTTCGACTGACCCTTTTTTGGACATGCGACGAACGGTGGTTGTTGGCGGAGTTGGTGGTGAGCTGCCGCACTACCGAGTCGCTTATCCATCCACCCTAGCGATACGAGAGAATAAAACGGGCAGTATCCCCCTTTGCTGTCTCAAATCTTGCGCAAGTTTCGTGCTTTCCACCTTCACCCCGCCCGCTGGATCGCGCGGCCTCCATGAAGCGGGCAGGTGATTTGGGCGCACCAGCCATATAATGGCACGGCGTATTGCGTGGCTTTGGCCGGTTAAGCTTTGTCGGGCTCGCAAGTTTTGGTATTTACCACATGGTCGGGAAACTTCTCACGATGTTGGCTTATCAGAGTTCAATGTCATCACATGGTTCCGATGATTTGGAAATGATTAGGTTGTGAAGGCCGCGTCATTCATGCTCAGCCTCTTTGGACTGCCGTGAGCAGCGAGGCTATTCGCAAGTTTTCTCTACTTTCGGAACAGCTGCATTCCTCAACCACTACGACTGAATAGGCTGAGTAAATTCAAATAGGTTTTTTTTTATAATTCTGCCCCATCATCTCTGGAGCCGGCGTGATGAACAATAATGCTCTTTAAGAGAGATTAAGCCTTTGGTCACGTACTCCAGAGCTGTGGACCATCTCCTACGCAGTAACTCCGTTGCAGTTTAGTGATTGTTGGATACTAGCAATGAAGCAAGACGAGCACCAACGAGACCATGGTGAGAGCAAGTAAAGAAGGGTGTCACGTTACACATCGTCAAAGAAGGTATACATATAAAATGGAGATCATTATTAATCAAGCATAAGCCCTGTAGTCTTGGCAACAGAGGGTAAAGACCTCAACGCTGTTATCAATGAAAACTTATGGGACGACGCCCGGGTTGCTGCAAGTTATCTAATTGTGAACATCAATATTGCTCTTCGCAGAGGATCCAAAGAGGATACCAGATTGCTTGAATTAAACGGTGCATTTGACTTGATATGGTATCCTGAAGTTGAATGGAACCTGAGAACTCAAGCCAAATGTAACATTTCGCTAGTCCTTAGCCTTGGCACTTGCACACAAGTATGCATTTGAGTTCAACAGGATTCATGGAGTATCATGTGATTTGATTTAGATGTTGCGTAATCGCGGGGCTCTCTTCTAATTCTTGGTCCTTCGGAGACGCCCCGTCGGCAGCCAACACACAGCACGTGGTCTTGCTCCTCCCTCTTTAGTCGTTGTTTCCAGTCGCAACACCCCAGAAGTACCCGCACCAGCTGCCCAGGATCAGCGCGATCAGCGCAACGAAACAAGCCATGGAGATCACCCTGTTCCTGTGGCCATCCTCTTCGTGGAACTTCCGCTTCTGTTCGTTCAAGATTTCTCCTCGAGCAATGCGGACCTTGCGCGACCACTGAAGATGTCCAAGATCTGTGAACTTGAGAGCCAGCAAGAACAAGCCAATAGACACAACAACTGAGATTCCCGCTAAGACGACATAGACAATAGTAACCTTGTCATAGGAATTGTTGTCCGCGTCTTGGATTGCTCCGGTCACGATGCGGACTATGATGTTCATACTAAAGCTTCGTCAGTACCTATATTGCGCCGAGGGGGAAGTTGAATTTGGAGACTGGTGATACGTACGCATTGTTCATGGTGATTTTCAGAGAATAGGCTGAGCCAAAGACTGACGAGTCCCATACCGCAGTACGTGTGCTATCGATGATAGTGGCCGGACCGAAGCAGTAGGCAAATGCGAAGACGCCAAAACTCGCTGCAGTACCTGTCGTGTTGTTGGCAAAGCATACCAACAACATGGAGGTGAACATGCCAACTCCACAGAATGCCACTAGAAACCCATGTTAGTCTTCCGAAGCATATCAAGTTGGGCGGTGAGTGGGTGACATACGGATAGAGATGCGCTGGCCGAAGACATCCAAGAACACCCCGAGAAGAGGAACAACGAAGAAACCTAGTTTAGTTAGCCTGATTATCTCCTAAAACATTCAATGAAGTTAATGCTTACCAGCATATTGAAGCGTCGCGCTGTACCATCCAGCAGTGATAGAGCTGGTGCCGAATCGCTGCTCAGCCAGCTCTGTGGCATTCTGCAAGAACACAATAGCAGTGCTAGTTTCGAAGAGGGAAAAGGCCATAACAGCCCAAAACGACCACGGCAGTTCCAAAACCTTGCGCAACTGGAACTTCTTGGACTTTTCAGTGAGCTGCTCTCCTGTGGCTGGATCGCGGACACCTTGGAACTTCTTGTGGGCCACTTTCGTGAACCAGTAAAAGAACACAGTGACGACATTCGTAAATAGGTTCATGAACACCGCCACCCAGAAAACCCAGGCAAAGTTCCCTGTTCGCTTCGCGATAATGTTTGCAGATGACTTTCCGGCAAATGCACCGATCTTGCCGATGCCCAACTCAAAACCAAGCGTGGAGGCGAAACCGTTGCTCGGAGCAAACCAGGATGAGAAGACCTTGTACTGTGCGACCTGCGTGGCGATGTCTCCCAAGGCGCGAACGACTCGACCGGCAACCATAAACTTGTAGGATCGTGTTTGGGCGGCCGCTGCGACGAGAATCGAACCGGCAGAGTAGATGAAGTTGCCATACAACATGGCTCCTGTTGAGAGTTAGTGTGCCCGTTCGTAGTAGCGCCAAGAGAACATCGTACCAGCACCACCGATCCTATCCGTCACAATTCCACTGAGAAGCATCAGGGCCGTAACCATGAAGTCTTCGCTGGCCTCAAGCAGGGAAAATTGGGTGTTGCTGATGCCCAGCTCCTTTTTGATGGTGCTCTTCATGGCTCCTGAGATGCCGGAACTCCATTGGGACCCGAAACCAATCGCCGTAACCAAGGCTATGGACGCAAACTTCCAAGTCCAGGGCACCTGAGTCTTTCTGGTGTCTTCGTCATCGCTTTGGTCAGCGGTCAATGTGTTGACCGCAACACCCGACTTTTCGTTTGCGTCGTCGGACGGGAGGGATGCTGGGCGTGCTGTCTCAGCATCGCGGTCCAGGGGAGCGGTGGTGGCCATGTTGGCTGAACGAGAGGGTTGGGCTCCGACCGCACACAGCGACGTGAATGAATGACGTTGGGAGTAGCACCCACGACGCAAGATTGAAGTCTGTGAAGAACGGGATTTGAGGCGGGAGAGCTGATGCGATAGGACACTATTTAACATGCAACCCTCAGCTTTCAGCTTGGCTCAGCTTCGTGGTTGTGCCCCTCCAGATCGTTCATATCAGATCCTTTCATCTGATAAGATAATTAAACCGAAGGTCCGAACATCCCTGGCTACACGTGGTTGACCAAAATTTACTCAGTGGACTGACCAAGGCAGATGGAAGCTGGATCCCGGATAGTGTCACTAGGCTAGGCCGTCGGTCTAGAAGCACGTTACACCGCGCCATTCCGGATGAAGTGGGTGGTCGGAAGAATGTGGCCTCATCGGGTAATGACTCAAGTGACATGATTCGCAAGAACGGCAGACGTGGGAGACTGCAACTTCAAAGGTCGCCGACATCATCTTTAAGGAACCAACTGTCTCAGAACCCATGAAAATTCCCGAGGAAAAGACGAGAAGACGTCTGAGCTCTTACAACTTCGAGGCTTTCACGTGCCCAACAGATCACATGTATTCCATCTGCCGTCAAACATTCGTCTCTTCCTGAAGTCTTTGCGATTAACAATTCGGTGGCGAGAAAATTCGATCAAGGGGTACGAATTCGGTCTGTCATGAAGTAGCATTCAAGGCAAAGCGTTGAAGAACCGCCGAGTCTCTCACTGTGAGAGGATTCCTGATCGACGGTCCCCAGTCATCAAGTGGGTATTCCGTTGGTGGGAGTCCGGCGATACGAGGCCAACTGTCTCGGTCGTTAGTGGTTCGCCGAAACGTCGGACATGTGTAGGCGCTAGATGCGCGCGTGCAGAGTTCTCGACAGACGATCGAATTGCGCGTCTTGGCGGGAGGTTGAACTTTCAGGGTCCTTGACTAATAAATGTTATTTTGCATGGTTCTTCACATTTACCCTGAGAAACGCCGGCGGGGCTGGCTGGCCATGTCGATATCGGAAGTGGACTGAGGTGTTGTTTATTATGATGGTCCCGTCTCCCGCGATTATCTCTGGCGCACGAGACCCTTCCAAAACAAGTCGCGTTTGGATCTCAACTTGACAATCTCAAAAGAATGTCCAAATCGCTGGAAAGATCGCGCTCCAGGACCCGAGGATATGGCTCCTGTTCCCCCCATCCCAGGGCCCGGTCCCCTTCTCCGGAAAAGCCAGTGTCATGGGCCGCCTTACCTCACAAAGGGCAGCTTGCCATGATTGTCTTTGCACGATTGGCGGAACCTTTGGCCGAAAGATCCTTGGCTTCTTTCTTATTTTTTCAGCTGCAATGGTTTGACCACACCCTCTCGGAAGCAACCATAGCAACTCAGGCCGGCGTTCTCACCTCCGCTTTCGCCGCTGCCCAGTGCGCGACCGGGATGTGGTGGGGCTACATCGCCGATAGCCCCCGATGCGGCCGGAAGAACGTCCTCATCATGGGCTTACTTGGCACATGCATGTCGTCTTTGGGTTTGGCTTTTTCTAGATCTTTTCTGGCCGCGCTCTTCTTCCGAGTCCTCGCCGGTGCCTTGAACGGCAACGTTGGCGTCCTACGGACGATGATATCGGAAGTAGTAGATGATAAAAGGTGCGTAGAACGAAAGCTACGATTATTGAGATTTGAACCAACTAATAAATCTTACTTAGGTTACGGTCAAGAGCGTTCCTTCTGTTGCCAATGTGTTTCAATGTGGGAGTCATTGTGGGCCCTCTTCTCGGCGGCTTCCTCGCAGACCCCGTCACTTCACATCCGGATCTTTTCGGCCCCGGCTCCCGGATCGGCGGCCCTGATGGCGTCCAATGGATGATGGAGTATCCATATGCTCTTCCCTATCTAATGTCGGCATCGTTCCTGTTTCTCGCTGCGATGGGAGTGATTCTCGGCTTGGACGAAACACACGTGGCCCTTCGCGACAGCAGAGATCGTGGCCGGGAGATTGGTCGCTACATTTCCAGCTGTCTAAAGACCAAAGAAGGAGTGGAATACACCCGTCTTGATCAAGATCTTTTGTCGGATCGTCCCGTTGGCCGAGTTGCTGGTCGCACGCACACCGAAGCTTCCAGCGAAGCTCCTCGGTCGATCTTCACTCATCAAGTCCTCCTTACTTTGTCACAAAATTTCCTCTGCACACTCCACACGTCGGCATACAACGCGATGCTTTTCATCATCTTGCCACTGGCGAGATCGAAGAATGTCGACAAGCATCTACCATTTCGATTCACTGGTGGTCTTGGTCTCACATCACAACAAGTGGGTTTCGCGAATACCATCATTGGAATCGTTGGCCTTCCTCTTCAGATCTTGCTTTTCCCGCCAGTGAGTGGAAAACTCGGAGCTACATCCTCCTACCGACTCTTCCTTCCGTTCAGTCTGCTGGCATACACCGCTATCCCATTTCTGTCTCTTTTGCCTGGCAAGGGTGATATCTTTTGGGTGTGTTTGGCAGCCGTGCTAAGCTCGCAGGTGCTGTCCCGAACGTTTGTTGGACCGGCCACTATCTTGCTGGTGAATGAGGCTGCTCCACCGGCTGCTTTGGGGACGGTGCATGGAATCGCTGCAAGCACATCAGCAGGCGCTCGTATGCTTGGTCCGGTGATCGGCGGCTTGGTCCTCAGCTGGGGCCTGCAGACCAACGCCATTGGTATTCCGTTCTGGGGCCTCGGCGCCTTGGTTATGCTCAATTGGCTGCTAGTATGGGCTGTTAGGGTCAATCCCGGACGTTAAAGCAGAGAATTGGTTGGTTGGGTGAGAGCAAAGTCAGGCAGTGGTCACTTCTTGCCCTTTACCTGCCGTCGTCGATTACAATGGCCAAGACTATGGCACCAAACGCAATAGAATTTGAGAGAACAGAGTCTTAGATCGTACACCTCGGATCCTTGTGGCTTCGTCTTTCATTACTTAGTTGGGGAATGTCTATCTTCAATGTCTTCCATCAAGTGGTTACATGACTGGGGCGAGAAGAACGGCCTTTAACCGCCCGTTGCGGGGCCTTGTGGACGTTTCCCGGATCTCAGAATCATGGGGATATCGTAATGTGGATAGTGGAGTTGCATAGATGATACTGCCAGCAACACATGTCATTGAAAGAGGAGTTCGAGGGTGTCTGGTAGCTAGGCCTGTCGTGACGGCCCGAGGTGGGATGACACCCTCAGCATCTTTTTAGTTTCGTGACGATAACTTGCAGCCACTCATGTTCAAGATGTCTCATTATAATTCCTCGAAACAGCTAGTGCGGGTATATTCTAGACTTTCCGGGACATCTATCTTACCAGCCGGGGTTTGCCCCGCGTGAACCCAACCCCGCTCATAACGTAAACACACTATCTCCACGTGAGACTCTGGCGGAAGCCCAATGCTGTTCACGTCGAGTTGTGCCAGTACTTCTGGTACGACCTGGAGATATTTGATCAGATATAAAATCAACAAACAAACAGGTTGTCAAAATCATCAAACCTTTTTCTCAACCAAACTCGAATCAGCACTTCCCACTCTGCGAGACAATTGGTAATCTTTCTTCAAGCAAGCTTCTTGAACAACCTCAAGTTATCTTCTGCAATATTGTATCCAAAGGAGAGTATCCAATCACAATGGCCGCTGAAGTCTTGATGCCCGCAGCTCCACCGGCCGTTCTGGGACCAAAACTTAAGGAGCCAACGCGCCCCACGAACCGGTTGCCCGACTTTCTAATCGACGAAGTGAGAGATGTCGAGAAAGTCGCTTTCGATCCAAAGAAACACCTGAACATCGTCGAACCAGAGCGCATCTTCACCATGCAGGAAATCGGGCTCGGCGGAAAGGGTATATCCCCGGTTGCAGCTTCTTCCCCATTCTCCATCTTTACACCGGAGGCCGTGGCGCAGATGAGAGCAGAGATCTTCAGCGAGCCCGTCCTTCAAAGCTGCCAGTTCACCTCTGACTTTGCGAAGAACATGATCAGGGGATATGGACCTAGGTAAGTAGGGGGAAATGGTATCTGGTCAGTATGCTCCGGTACTAACTCGTCTTTTCAGACTTTGTCCCTTCATATTCGATGCTTGGAACAGCCCCGAAGTTCTCAACGCGGTCTCGAGGGTCGCCGGCGTGGACCTTGTCCCAGCCATAGAGTATGAGGTCGGCCACGTCAACATCTCCATCAACGATGTCACGACTGAACTCACTGCGATCGAGAATAGCGACGACTCTTCCGCTTTTGCCTGGCACCTGGATAGCTATGCTTTCGTCTGCGTCACAATGCTTTCTGATTGCACCGGTATGATCGGAGGCGAGACGGCCATGCGAACGGGCACAGGGGAGGTGATGAAAGTCCGCGGACCAGCGATGGTAGGTTGTTGTCCCTCACAAAGTATCCATGCAGGACTTTGACAAGTTATTATCTTCAGGGCACTGGGGTCGTCATGCAGGGCCGCTACATTGAGCACCAAGCCCTCAAGGCCAAGGGTGGCCGGGAGCGTATCAGCATGGTCACTGCCTTTCGGCCCAAGAGTCCCCTGGTCAGAGACGAGACTGTCTTGACAGGCTCTCGCCCTATCAGCACTCGATCTGATATCTACTATCAGTGGAGTCACTACCGTTTGGATGTGCTTGAAGAACGCTTCCGTGATGGGGCAAAAAAGCTCCGAGAGCGGGAGCGCGCTGGCCGTGAATTCGACGTTGATGCAGCCAAGGAGTTTTTGACTCTCCAGAAGCAGTTTTTGGAGGCTACTATCGCGGAGTTGGAGTAATGGGAGACTGCGGTGGACTTATCTCAAACCCTAGGTCGCGAGTAGCTCAGAAGACTGGCAACATGTCCGAACCAGATCAGCTACGGGTCTACTAGATTAGTATTATATGTAGGATTAGGTAAATTGTACGCAATCCAATCACAGTCAATCAATCAATGGTACCTCGCATTTATAGTAAGAATTTAATGTCTAAGGTGGCATGTCATAGTTAGTTGAGGGGACATTGCTTTGGACGGAAGATGTAGTGTGACACGCTTAATGTCGTGCGCTAGAACGTTCTGTTGATGCGGAAGGAGATGGCCGAACCTCGAAGTCTTGTGTCCTGCGTCAATGAGATGTTCATGATATACCATGACTGTGTGATAGGAAGCATTGACCCCGCCGGTATTGATGTCAACCGCACATCCAACCAGTTCATCTAGTTGGCCATATCTTTAAACTGTGTTTTGGTTTTGGGCTCTCACTTGGATTGCCTTTTCGGGCATAGTACGAGATAACGCAGAGCATGCCGATCTCCGGAGAAAGGGCCGCGTTAGATGCACTAACACTGCCGCAAACCCTGGTGCACAAGACGCAGGCCAGCTGCCAACAGTGCGGGGAAGCGAGATAAGCTCCCCTCCCGGTCAGGTGGGTGGATGTGTTGTTGGGGCTCGACGGGTCTAAGCAACCCCGCTTCCTCGCCTGTCATCAGACATCACCTTTGCAAGGTCATAGGCTCCTCAGCATTGAATAGTACCTTGACATGAAGGCGATGTGGATTTTCTGATAGATCTCATGGCTCGAAGAAAAAGGAAATACGTGCCCAAAGTCAAGGGTGAGTTTCGAGAGGGATCTTTCAGGTGGTGACTATTCAAATTGGATTACTTGGCTGACAAACGACAGGGTGTTACGAGTGTTCCCAGCGCCGCATTGACTGCGATGGGACAAAACCCAGTTGCTTCAAATGTACAACACGAGGAATTCAGTGCAGTGGTTTCGGTCTGCAATACAAATTTCTTGATGGCTTCTCTCGCAGGGCTAGGCCTCAATCTCTTGGAAACCGGAGTGCGCTGCTGAAAGACGCACTCGCTCAATCATCAACGAGTACATCGTCGAGACTTCGATATCACAACTGTCATGCTACTACCTCGGAACATGAAAAGCCCCATGATTCTTGGGAAGCCATCTATTGGGAGAGTTCTACACTGGACATCTATGACACTGCCCAGCAGGACGCATTGATAGATGCTTGCTTACAGACAAGTCCACGGATGAACGATGAAGGCTCCGATCCCGAGGTCCCAAACAATAGCGCAGTCGAAGAAAAGGATGTTGCCGAAAATGCATCATCCTCAACAACAACTGAAGTTGAGGCGGTCGTCAGGCCCCGCAAACCGGCTATGCTGGCAAGCTTAAGCATACTCGAGCCATGGAAAGAGTTCTTGATCGCGCACTGTAAGGCTCTATGGATAGAACGACCCCATGGAGGTACTAACGCAATGAAAAGTTTCCGAATCCATCGCGCCTGAAATGGTTGTCATTGATGACTGTTTCAACGGCTGGCGGCATCTGGTTCTTCCTCTTGCATGGACCAACGAAATGATAATGGACTCTGTCCTAGCTGTGTCAGCTTTTCATATTGCCGGAAAAGCTGCTAGCCAGGCTGAATTAGACCCGTACCGGCTTTATACGCGGGCAATTCATCAGCTGTTGAATCGAAAAGATCTGGTGGACTGGGACAAGGAAACGAGACAGTTTGTCATTCTCGCAATCATGGTCCTTCTTGTTTCTGTGATGGTCAACGGGTTATCGGATTTCCCTATCGTCTTTCAAATGTTAGAATCGGCCATTGATGCAGTCGGAGGAGAGGATGTGATAAAGGACGGTGCGGAAATGGGCGGGTTCCTCCTGCGGCAGATTCATAAGTGAGCCTCCATGATAACCTACTCCACTGAGCATATCACTGACACGTATTCACAGGATGAGAGTCTATGCTGCACCGCTACTAAGCCAGGAGGCTGGAGTCGATGCCATCATGTATCATGGGAAGGAAAGCTTCGATTGTCTGTACTACTACCACAGCTTATACCCTGATTACTGTTCTACGTTCGACCACCTGGCGGACCTTCGCCAGCAGGCGTTTAATATCTACCTAAACCGCGCTTTGGGAGATAGTATCATGAGAGAATCTTCGGCAGAACTAATTAACTCGTACCAGAAAGGTCTAGAATCTTTACCTGACGGGTCTGTTGGCGAACATTGCCTTGTATGGCCGACCTTCATTGCCGCTCTGGAATGCCGCAATCACGAGCAACAGTCATTCTTTGAACAATTCTTGCTACGGCAATATCATCGTAACCAGTTTTCGAACATACTGAAGGCCTTAGAGTTATTGAGAAGTATCTGGGACCAGACTGGACGTGGGAGCGAGACGAATTGGCCAGCACTGATTCCGAGTATGCGGGTTTTCATCATGTAAATACATAGGGGGGCAAAGACATGGCTTGAGTGGCAGCACCTGACCATTTCAAATTGTAAATTGTAAACTCTTATGGTCTCTGGAAGAAGCTCACGTTTGTCGTATTTTCGATACTCATTTGACATATCTTCTTACAGATTTGCACGTGTAGTACGTTGAACGGCGTCAACCACCTCCTTCGCACCCTGCTCTCCAGAACACAGTGCCCCCTCCATGTACCCCTTCCATTCTGTAGAGTATTCCGTACCCACAAAATGAAGGTTGCCTACGGGCTTGCCGTAGACATCGGCATACTCCGTGTAGTGTCCAATCTCCTGGATCGGGGCCAGTGCCCCTTTGCTGTACTGCTCATGCTTCCAGATCTGGTCGAAGATTTCAATCGGACGGAAGACTTCCGAATCTTTCCCAACATTGAAAGCCTTCGCTACTTGCTTGAGTACCACGTTGCGACGCTCGTGGGGGTGGAGCTGAGACCACTCTTCGCCGAACTTGCCGTTGACGAAGCAAGTCAGCGAGTAGAAACCCGTCTCATCGACACTGGTGTCGCGAGCCAATGTGATTGGGCCAGTGTAGCTCATGAAGAAGCCATTGTATCCGAGATCTCTCCACCATGGCTTGTCGTAGCATAAGATAGCCTTGTTGTAGTGCCCAAGTCTAGAAGAATCGTTGACTTCACGCAGTCTTGAAGGTAAGGATGGAGAGATGTTCAGGTCACGCATCATGGTGCTTGGGATGGAGATAATGGCCTTTTTTCCCACGAAACGTTGGCCGTTGGTAGTGATGACGGTGACATGAGCCGAGCTATGTTCGATCGACGCGACGGGTGCGGAAAGATGGATGTTGCTGCGACCTATCAAGTCGGCAATGCCATTTGCGATTTGTTGCGTGCCTATCGACCATGGTCAGTCCGAATTCATGCCCCATAAGGAATGATCATGTACCTTTATGCAAGCGCTGATAGTTTCCACCAGTCTTGTCATCAGCACGAATCGAGAAGAGACCTCTGTTCCGACGACAGTAGTCGATGAACCAAGCAGCAGACTCTTCCGTAGACTCGACACCATGCATAACCTTCGCCCAAAGATTGATCATGGCGATAGTCTTGGGAAGCGCACCCAGATTTCGCACGTATTGATCCAAAGACACGCTGTCATCTTCTCTTTTGGGAGTCTCTCCCTTCAGCGACTCGGCTTGAATGTGGTCTCGGATGAATTCCAGATTCTTCTTTTCTTCGGGAGTGAACTGCAACCGCTCAATCAGCCTTGCCTCAAACAATAACATGACGATATGCTGGTCGTCCACTCACCTCGGGTGTGATGCCAAATGGAAACTCGATCCTCTCGTTCTCGGACACTTGCATGACTGCTTTTCCGACTAGTCGTTGTGCGACCATGGGAAGATTGAACTTTCGGATGTACTTGGTAATCCGCGGTTGGGTGTTTTCATTGACCCAGGCAGCTCCAAGATCCGCGTATCCTCGGCCAGATGCCAAGGGCACGCTCCATGTCTTGCCGCCAACGCGATTTCTCGCCTCGACAACGACGACGGATAATCCTGCCTGCTGCGCAGAGTAGGCAGCCTGAAGGCCGCTCAGGCCGGCACCAACAACGACGACGTCGAACATGCTGATCTCTGTTGATGAACTGGTCTGAGGAAGCTGTGGAAATTGCGCTCTTGGAGTTGTGAGACAAGATGGTCAGCTGTGGTAGAAGTGACCGAGACAATGTAGAAATATGATCAAGACGAATCGAAGGCACCCTGGGCCTCCTCTTTTTATTTGGATTTTGCAAAATGCCAAATTTCTGAGGCATAGCCATACCAGTTTTCATCGGCTCATTTGACTCATATTCTACCGAGGGAGGTGGGCTTGTCGCAGCACTAGATGGAACCATGATCAGCCGAAACCGAATCTAAGCTACAGAAGCTCTTAGCTCTTTAGGAAGAAGCCCACAATAGCTCACTGCCTGTTTAAGAAGTGAAAATGAGAGTCCAGATCGTGACAGCCAATCCGAAGATGATACTTAGGACTTGACTCCTCGAGTGTCATAAGTTGGCCATGCAGCGATGTGGAGTTGTGCAGCGACCAGGAGCCTTTCCCAATGCGGTAATGAAAATGAGAGAACGATGCGGAGAGATCAGCAGGGATGCGTTCCCTCCGCTTCACTGCGAGTCCCCCTTCCCCGCATACCTCAACCCATTCAGCTGCCGAAGATCGGGGGTTGAGTGAAGTCTCTGATGTATTTAGAGGTCCGTCATGGGTTAGACTTTGAGAAATAGTATCCAAGGATTTGAGGGACATGGCTTGGGCGCGATGCATCTGCACCCGCCGCTTAGATTGCAGTCTCGTGGAGTGACTGTCCAGAGTGCGACTCACGTCCTGCCAGTCTCGCCGACATGGCAGGTGATGCACCTCCGGCCTATGGCTAATTGTGCACCAACGACGAGACCGTGATTGTCAAAAGGGCAGTAGCAGCACCTTTCAACTAGGCGTGAAAGAAAACGTGGAAAATTTCCATGTCGATTCTGGCGCTTGTTCTTTAAGATTACTGTTTCCACAACTGTCCCATTCCTTCGGATTTCACAGAACTCGACTTTCTCAATTGGTGCATACCATTTGCGTATTTTTTACTAGCTGCCCATTCGAGACGAGTCAATTGCGAACGCGAGGCCAAAAATCAAGAAGTGTCTTGCTTCGAATGCTGACCTTAATGAGAGATGTCAATCAAGGTTTCTGAATGGGTTAGATTGATTGCATGGGCGGTCCGAACCCTCAGATTCTCGGTCCGAAATGTCACAGCGAGAGACCGACAAGGGTCCTACAGGATAGCAGCACCCTATCAGCAAAATGATGGGCTGTTCATAAGTTTGGAGGTCGCTGCGTCATTGGCCACCATTGTCAAAGACCCTTTGTAGGCGATTCCTTCCCTCCTGCTAATAAATTGGCAGTCGTTGATTTTGCTCAAAGGCCAACGTAAGTTTGAACTCTCCTGGCTGTTGATTTTGATACAAATTCAAGGCATGGAAACTTTTAATAGAATACTCAAATGGTCAAAACTGTCGACTAATAATTGACTTTAGGCCCTTCCAACCGAATAGCAATCACCCATACACACAATGGGTACATACGACGAAGACGAGGATTCGAAACCTTCCGAAATGTACAATGCACTAAACGGAGACTCCAATGCCGACAGGCAAAGGGGCACACGATATTGGAACCCAATTTCATTCTTGAGAAACTCCAATTACACACCAGTGGAAGATGCAGATGGGCAAACAGAAGATGAATCTGCACTTACCTTGGAGCTCCGAAGAAAAGATACCGCGATACGAAGATGGCAATGCTTTTCCGGACTCTTGATAGTACTGTTGTTGATCACCTGGTTTCTGTTCCCTTCGAAGCCGCCTCCACGGTATCCCCAGCCACACGAAGGCACAGACAACGTCCTGAAATGGATGAAACAAGCGGAAGTAGCTGACGGTCACTACTGGTGCGGTCCAACAACAGCTGAAGCCAAGAAAAGAGGATGCACGTTCAACAAACTTCACAACAGATGGATGTCGCAACACTGCGCGGCTGATTTTGAACCGGCGAAGGAGGCTGTCTTCAAGGCCCTGGACGGTGATGTCCCAGAGTTCGTCTTCTACAGAGACGAGGGCGGTAAGCCTGGGGCAAAGATATCCGAGGAAGAGCTGAATGGGTTGGATATCTTGACGCCAGCGTGGACGACGGTGGGGCATCATATGACGCATTGCATGTACTTGCTTCTTCAGGCAGCCGCATCTTTGAATCTTGGAACCAAGGCAGACATGGTAGTGCATGCGTGGGAGCATGCTGGTCATTGCGCTAGCGTCATTATGAACATCACAAAGACGGCGCCAGGGTGGACCGATATTGCGAGTTTCGGGCATACCCAGTCGGGCGTTTGTTGGTAACCGGGCACATCTGAACTAGCATACGGTCAACTGGCATAGCATTTGATGGGAAGCGCAAAAGATCGATTGAGCATAGAATGAAGACAGACTGAACACATTGTTGTCCCAGATATTGTATTACACACTAGCTTTATCCCTATTTTCGTTGCGAGTCCATAGTTCTTAGTCGCACATATCGCATAAGACGCAAGCTCAAGCCTCATCACTGTCACTCTCATGAGTGCTAACCTTTACTCTCGACTCCCTCCACTTCTGCAATAAGGGAAGTCCAACACCGGTCCAAACTGTCAATGCGATGACGAAGGCAAGAGCGCTGCCCCATCCATGTGTCTTCACGAAAGCTGGAGCCTGTCCGCTGGGCATCTGCAGCTGCTGGAACGGGATGACGACGGCCTGTCCCACAGAAACCATGAAACCCAAGACAAAAGCACGCTTCTGCTGGTCGCCACCGCATGCCTCATTGGCCCAACCCGCCAGCAGAGGCGTGTAGCAGCCGTAACATCCGGCGAGGATGAAGACAGCCATCCGAAGCATATGAGGAACAGTCCAAGCAGTGAGAACGGCGTAGACGAAGGTCAGGAGACAGCCGACTGCGAAACAGATCGGGCCACGACTGCGCATCTTGTCGGCAATGTAGCCCGTCGAGACCATGAAGACGAAGTTGATTGCGCCGACGCAGGTTGGGATGTTGTTGATCTCAGGCACCGTGTACATCTTAGTAGATTTGAGGTAGAGGGTGAAGTACTGGATGATGTAGGAGCCGCAGGTGAGGGTCCAGAAGCAGTAGGCGGCGGTGAAGGCGTAGACCTGCCATGAGCCGAAGACGCGGGTGATGACGGACCAGTTCATCTTACCGACGGGCTTGCGGCCCTCTTCTTCGATGCGCTGGCGGGCACGCTCCTTCTCCCAGTCGCTGAGATAGAAGGCTTGGGTGGTGTGTGGAGTGTCAGGGAAGCAAATCTGACAGAAAAGTTAGCACATGCATACTAGAGCGCGGTAGGAACTGTCAACTTACAACGCCGTAGATAACGACTGGAATGGCGAGGATGAAGTCAAAGATGAAGAGCCATCTCCACGCTGACAGACCTCCCTTGCCGCCCATTCCGGTGTAAAGGGCGGATTGCAGGTATCCAGAGAACATTTGACCCAAGACGCCGCTCATGACAAACAGACCAGAACGACGGGCAAGTTCGCTCTTGCGATACCAAGAGCCGAGGGTGAACATCACACCCGGCCAGGCGCTGGACTCGAACAGGCCGATAAAGAAGCGGAGGACGTAGAATTGGTGCGCGCTGTTGCACTTGAAGAGAAACAGTACGAAAAGCGACCACACAAAGAGGCAGCCTGGCAACCAGTAGCGAGGGCGGACGACGGTGATGATCAGGTTCGCGAAAGACCCGCCAATGATGGTGCCGATGTTGAAGTATGTGTTCATCCAAGAAAGCTCGTTGCCGGGGCCGAAGCCGAGCTCATCGCTCATGCCGGACACATAAGCATTTGAAATGTTGTTTTGGTCGAGCTGCCGATGTGAGATTAGCGGTGAGCCTGAAAACCTCAGCGGAGGCATCGTACCTGTTTGATAAAATACGTTAAGCAACCAAAGCTCAACAGGAACCAGTCGAGCTTGAAGATGAGCTTCTTTTCTTCAGGAGATGTGCCCGGCTCATGCCAGTGGAACCACCCGGCCTGCTCAGGCTCTTGTGGGGGCTCCGGCTTGGTATCGGCAGCGGCGGCGGCGGACGTCGTCGAAATGCCGTCCTTGTCGTGGGCCCGGTCGACCGGGTCGACCGCCTTGATCGCGTTCGACGCGTTGTTGTCGAGGCGCGCCATGTTTGACTCGGCTGCGTGACGAGCGAATGACTCGGGTATTCGGACACAAGGAGAAGCACCGCTTCGCACAACGCACGCGTCAGAGCCAGGAATGCTGCTCGGTGAGGCCCTTAACAGAAGGTGAAGGTTTGGGGGTGACTGGGCAGCAGATCTTTATGACAGCCACCGCTCTCCTGAACCGTTCTCCAGGCGGCCGATAGCCCGACAATGATTGGATAACGATTTTTTCTGGGTCGAGCACGACATCGGCAGTCCGCTCAGTGACATTTTGCAAAAGACCAGGTGCTTGGAACGCCAAAACAACAATTTTACCCCGGTGCCGCGCGGTGGATTTGTCCCTTTGATGGTGGTATCGGGGAGGGGCCTGCCTCTTTACCCGTTTGGGTAGTTTGTGTCGGACGCTTTCCGGTTGCTGGCCCGGTCGTCGGACCCTTACTCGTACGCGCAGCAGTCCCCGGCTTATCCCCCATTCGCCTTCTGAAAGCCCGAAACCCCACTGCTTCAGCTTTCAGTGCGGCAGGTGAGTTGGTTCAGATGTCGCTGCTAAGGCGTGATTCAATGTCCTGGCCGTCTGGCATGATGTTGACTGGTTTCCAGACTTGCATATCGGTTGCGTGTCAACTCAATTGAAAACAAAGCATCGAGCTGAACTCACCGACTTTTGACTCAACCGACCCGCCGGACTGTGTCTCACCATGGTTGAATTCGTAGATATCAACGGTGCCCGACTGGCATACCGTGTTGCCGGTCCAGAGAACGCACCTCTCATGATAACTCTTCACGGTGGCCGGGGAATGGGTGAGCCTGGGCCCTCTCTATTGTCAGTGACTTTCCACGGCTTAACAGCTGTTCAGGTGATCATCGGTCGGACTTCAAGGTCTACAGCCAGCTAAGTGACAAGATTCGAGTCTTGTCATTCGATTACCGCGGACATGGGCAAAGCTCTTTGACCAAGCCGTACACATTCGAGCAGATCGTGGACGACATCGAAGGCGTAAGGCAGCACTTTGCCGGTGATAAGCAAGTCATCATCTGTGGTGGAAGCTTCGGCGGCTTTCTGGCGCAGCAATATGCGATCAAATACGCCTCTAAAGTTTCGCACTTGATTCTCAGAGGCACTGCTGCATCTCATCACCGTGAGCTCTTGCGCTACGCACCATTGCTATTATGACTGACTCTCTCATACAGATGAGGCCGGGGCGATCAAGACTCTGGAAGAGAGGATACATAAAGTTCCCAGCTTCTCTGTTGACATGCTGAGAAACAAGGTCTTCGGAGCTTACGAGAGTGATCGTGAGTTCCAGCTGATCTATTTCGCCATGATGCCACTCTATCGGGAGGTCTTTGACCCGGATGCGGCGCTGAAGAGCAATCTGGACGGCGTTTATGTGGCTGAATCGCACAGTAAGCCAATGATGCCAGCGGAGAATCGTTTTAGTAAATTGACCATGTTTTAGATGATCTATACTCAGAGAAGGAGAAGTACTTCGACTACACAGACCGCTTGGCACAGATTACCGCCAAGACGTTGGTGGTTGTCGGTGACAAGGACTGGATCTGCCCTCCAGGTAAGCGTGACTGAAAATTTCGTTAGCAACCAGAGTAAATCACAAGCTGACATCGAGTACAGAAAACTCGAAGTTGATTGCCGAGAAGATCCCTGGGGCTGAGTTGTTTATGGTTGAGAACGCGAATCATGGAGTGCACGCGGAGAAGCCGGAAGTGGTGCTCCCTAAGATCCGGAGACACTTGAACATTTAAATCCAGGAACGTCAATTATTTTGATGGTTCCTACTTCGTCGCAGCTCAGGAATGACTGTTGAGTTCAATTTAAGACGCGTGGTATCTGAAAGCAGGGGTGCAACGCTAAAGGACGACGGTAGCTACAAGCATTCAAAGAAATCCCAATTCCAACGACCCCCATCCATAGTCCATAGCAGAGTCCTCATTTCCCGCGACGGCCGAGTGTCGTGTTCCTGTCGGCGAGAAAGCAGCTTGCCCCCTGAAGCCCGTCGTAGTAGGTGGCTGGCCGGCGCAATCATCGGGCCATTCATGGAAAGCGTAACAAGTAGACCTCCCAAGTACTTCTTGCATCAGAGTGACTAGACTTGTGATCATTGGACGGACCATCGCCTGGTATGACTCCCTTGACGAGGTCATCTGTCCGTTATTGCCATACATGTTGTTACTGCTGCCGGGGAAGTGAAGAGTGGTGTAGCCGTTGTTGGGTACGCCTGAGATCAGACTCATGAACTGGCGGAAGACGTGTGCTGCTTGTCGCGCGTGGGTCCAGCCTTCGGGGAAGGCTTCGAGGATGCTGACAATCACGGCGACCTCATCCCTGGCCGAGAAGGACGTGCACTCTGCGGCGCAGGCGATGAAGCTGTGGATAAGGACCAATCCTACAGGGAACAAACGGCATAGGGTAACGCGGTTCAGTGGCAGCTGGCGTTGCTGGAGAAGGACCGAGGTCGATTGAAGATGCTTCTGTGCGAAGCGTAAGAGCTCGACCGCAGACACAATGGAGCCGCATGAGTTGAAGTGGCAGGGATAGTGAAGCAGGAGCAAAAGATGGTAGTAACGCGCACTCAACCAGGTGACTGAATTATGGATCGGCACGTTGTCTGGTTCCAATGGCGACACAAGGCAGCCGTTGCTGTACCAGTTCTCTATCTCCGATCTGATGTCCTGGACAATGGCACGGCGGTCAGCCTGGGAAAGAGCAGCGACGTCGGACTGCTTTCGTGTGTGAATCTGGCGAAGAATTCGATCTTCTAGTTGCCTCAGCTGGATGACGTGACGGTTTGTCTGGAGGATAGATGCAAAATGTTGCCGATCTGGAGAGGCGAATTCTTCAATCGTCAGCCCGGGCAATGGAACATCCATGTTCTCGTCAATAAGGGCCACTGGCAAGCCCAGCGAAATGGCCATCATCCGATCCAGGACGTAGATGCTCCAGAAAAGACGATGCCGCAGCTCGATATTCATCGCAGAGAGCGTCTTGTCCTCGGAAGATCTGCGGCTTAAGCCTAGTAACATCGCCTGTCGGGAGACTATGCCAGCTATTGACCATGTTGAAATGCCCTTGGGGTCGAAGAGAGAATACAGCGCCACCAAGACCAGAATCTGAATCGATTCGAGGTCTTCACGAGCTAGACATTCTTGGATAATGTCGGCGTAAGCCACGTCAAACTTGGATGTCGTGTCGTTGGGAATCTGGCCTGCTCTCTGTAGTGTAGTGCACCCGATAGCCATGATGAGGTACAGCAAGGTTGTATCTGAGTCTCGCCGCCGTTTGGAAGACTCGCCCAAGTTCTCCAGATCTCTGAGAACCTTGGACCTGTTCACGAACGGATATGCTCGGTTCACGTTCCTGAAGTAGGCGTCCACAAATCGACGAGCAATGGCATCCCGCGGCAGACTCGATGACGAGAAGCCTCCATCCCGGATAGACTCGATGCCAAGTATCCTCCCTGGCTCTGGTGCCGGCTGAAGAAGAGCACGCATGTGGTCGTTCCCTCTTGATGAAGGCGATTCCGAGTCCACGTTCACGGCCAAGCTTCGCTGGTCAAAGACAACCGACCCGGTGTTGCCGTGTATCGGAAATCCATCTCCTCGGTTGCTCCCCACACTCGCGGACCCAGGCGTGGCTCCATTCGCCGGCGTTGATGGGTTGATATCCAATTGCTGGCTCTGGTGCTGAGAAAGAGCACCCGGTGAAGACCCTAGGAGCGAAACAAGGTCCGTTCCGGTATCGAGATGCTCAACCCCGCCTCCAGGTACCGGGTGGCTTTCGTTGATATACCGTGTTAACCATTCAATCCTCGCCCTCAGGTGATGCGTCTGAGCTGCCGTCGACGCGGCTGGTGTGGAGAAAGAACACTTGTGTCCAGCATTGGCACACAACGTGCAGATGGGAAACGTGCGTGAGCATTTCTTCTTGAAAGCACGGCACCGGTCGCAAGCGGGAATATCGCGGGGCGCCTTAGGCGAGGACGCCGCCACTCCCGTGTTTGCCGAGGCGGTGGCGTTGGCGACATTGGGAACAGGGCTGCCCGAAGGAAGTCCAGGGGCAGCAGCAATAGGACTTGGCAGTATCGAAGGCGTAGGGGGCGGCAGAGACGTCGTGCCTACGGCTGCCGAGACGACTTCCGAAGATGAGACATCGGGAGTGATATCCGGGGCTCCTCCAGCTGGCACTGGTGATGTCTGCGGTGGCGGCAGAGATGCGCGAGGCAGCACGGGCGGAGAAGCCGAGCGGCGGAGAGTGGATGGAGACGATGGGGATGTTCGTCGGACGCGGAAGCGGTGGATGTTGGATTTGATCTGTTCGGGAGACATTGCGACGGCTTTGCCAGTGAAGACGGCGAGACGCCGACGCAACGCCCGTCTCGAGTCGGAAGGGGGACGATCGGTCGGTCGGTCACTGTGCGCGGGCGCGTCGCAGGCGCATAGATGATAGGGGGGATCGAATGGCTTGGAATCCAGGAGTCGTGGGGGCGATCTGAGTCGGAGTCGGGGCTCTCTCCGCTATTATGCTGAGCTGCTCTTCAGGCCATGGATGGATGCCAGGCCCTTCCGACGTGGTGGTAATGCTGCAACAATCCGTTCCTATCTCTATCACGTATGTCGACGTAAAGAACGCAGCATCTTCGCAGAGTGCGAATCTTTCCTCTCTCCCCCCTTTCAGCGTTGCACTCCAGCCAGGCTGTCCAGTCCGCGCAGATCCGATAGCATATTTTTTTTCAAGCCTTGCGCCGGCAGCTAGCACGACCCAGGCATTTCGGCAGTCAGTTTGATAGCAATCAACAGAAGCACGACTCGAACGGGCGCAGAGCACGCAATCTCTATCGGCTGAGGGGGTCGACGAATGAGAATTCTTTCTTCAGGGACAATTGTCCAGTAGATGGCCCATGTTTTGCCCCGCTGTCGGGGATCTGTCGTTCGGACTTAGTACTGCTGAAGAATTTTCTTTTCTGGTTAGGTGGCCGGATTGCGACTTTATGGGAGACAAGTGCGTACTACAATCACTGGCGAACATGGGAAAACAGAAGCTTCATGTCTCTGTGAATGATAGAGTCTCTGCCAAGAGAATTGTAAGACGGGGAAGTATATGACTTGCATGAGACTGCTGTTCGTCCCAAGACCGCTTGTCTCCGGCAGCCGGAGTCTGGCTGAAGGATGCGTGTATGTAATAGTCCCACCACACAGTTCAGTGTTCGCGCGACTCGTACAATAGCGCCAGTCGGGCCAAGGCCGATTAGTGTCGGCCATCACTCTCGCCTCGCCATCCCAGCGGGCCTTTCGTCCGATTGCAAAGCATGGTTGCACCAGCTGAATGAGTGGTTTGTGCCTATTGCCGAAATCTGAAGAATATGGGAATGCAATCGCCTGATGTTCTTTCACCAGCGTAGACAACTCTTCACGGGTGTTTACTCATTTAAGTCCGTCATCTCCTCTCTTCACAGGCTTCCTCCGAGCTGTTCATCGGCGCTACGATACCCCTCATCATCACTCCAACCCTACTCTTCCACACTCCGTCCCACACCGATCCGGTCAAACCCCGCAGCCATGTCGCCCATGTACACGGAGGATAAGCTCAATGTCGACCGGGTCGCCGTGATCGGCGCCGGACCGTGCGGTCTCGCCGCCGCGAAGTAAGCTGTCGTCCGACCGAGCGAGCCCCGGAGTACCTCGATGCTAATTACCGGCTTGTAGATACTTTTTGGCCGAGACGAAGTTTTCCAAAGTCCAAATTTTCGAGCAAAGAGATACCGTCGGCGGCGTTTGGACCTACAGCTCTCTCAGCGTCATTGATATTGACTTCAGCATCCCGAGAACGCAGCCCACAAAGAACCCGGACACGGCTATTGCTGTTGAAGGTCATGAGGCCAAGCAGTTCGTGTCGCCAGTCTATGACTTTCTTGAAACCAACATCCCGCACACGCTGATGAACTATTCCGACAAGAAGTTCCCGTCCACTGCCTCGCTATTCCCCCCTCACCAGACCGTGAAGAAGTATCTTGAAGACTACGCCGAGGAACTGAAGCCCATCATTTCACTATCGACGCAGGTTTTGGGCTTGAAGAAGGTACAGAGTGGAAGCCAAGTCTGCTGGGAGATTGAAACACAAGATCTCAAGACAAATGAGATAACGAAATCGCAATTTGATGCCGTAATGGTCGCCAGCGGTCACTACAACGACCCCTTCATTCCCGATATCCCAGGCCTCGCCGATTTTGACAAGGCGCACCCTGGCACTATCTCCCACTCCAAGTTTTACAGGAACGCTTCTCAGTACGAGGGCAAGGTAAGTCTCATCCAACATTCACTTGTACGAACCGTGGACTGACTTGATCATCCAGAAAGTAATCGTCGTCGGCAACTCAGCTTCCGGCATCGACTTAAGCGCCCAGATCTCCACGGTCTGCAAACTCCCCATAATTGTGTCCGAAAAGACCACCCCGAATACCCCAGCAGAAGACCGCTCATCATGGGCCAAGATGGTGCCCGAGATCCTCGAATTCATTCCAGAAGGCCGCAAGGTGCGCCTCGCCAACGGCGAGGTTGAGTCCGATGTTGATGGTGTGGTCTTCTGCACGGGGTACTTCTACAGCTTCCCTTTCCTTAGCGCTCTTTCGCCGCCAGTCGTCACAGACGGTGCCTACGCTCGCAACCTGTACGAGCACCTTCTCTACATCGATGATCCGACCTTGGCGTTCGCAGGTATTCCGCAACGCATTGTCCCGTTCCCTGTTGCCGAGGGCCAGGCTGCCTTCGTTGCGCGTGCATGGGCAGACAGGTTGCCTCTGCCGAGCACCGCCGAGATGAGGGAATGGGAAGCGAAGATGTTGAAAGATAAGGGAGAGAGCAAGATGCTTCACAACCTTGCTTTCCCGAAAGACCTGGATTACATCAACATGCTTCACGCTCGGAGTCTTGAGGCTGCGAAGCGTGAGGGCCTTGAGAACGATGGTGTCGGCAAGATTCCGCCATTCTGGGATGATGAGAAGAGGTGGACGAGAGAACGTTTCCCGCTCATCAAGATCGCATCGAGAAAGCTTGGTGAGAAGAGACACGAGGTCACGACTTTGGAACAACTGGGTTTCGATTACAAGGCCTGGAAGGCTGGCTTAAGCGAGGAGGAGAAATTGCTATGAACGCAGAACCAGGCCGAGGAGTTAAACTGTCAGACTCAAGTGCTAGACATAGACCTCTAGAATCTTCATCATTTTGAAAGCCTGTACGCCTTCTCAGAAGCCTTGCCCGTCATTCCGCGCCATGTAGTACCCGTTGCAGACCCAATCTGACTACTGTTGCAGCTGCAGTAAATCAACGCAATCAAGTTAGATATCAACAGTAGCTTTTCGAATCTTTCGACCGAAGTAACCCAATAGCAGTATACCCCCAGCCTGAGCAACGGCGCAAACGGATGAAGTTATCCAGCCTACTCGAAAGTAGGGCGTCTGTGTCCCCGTATTGAAGATGAGAAGGGGGACCCAAGCGTTGAAAGTCGCACCGAAGGCTTGAGCGATTCCAAGAATGAGAGCTCTCTCATCCGCCAAAGAGCCAAAGGTTTCGCCAAGATAAGACTTTCCCCCGAGTCAGCATCTGTGTATAAAGAGAAACGAATGAGAATCTGCTTACGATGATCACAGGCCCATAGGCGAGGGTAGCCGGGTTGACGAGGTACCCGAAGAACGCACCCGCCTTTGACGGAACCACGGCCAACACAACACACGTGACAAAGTTCAAGGAGGTGATGATGAGCGCGACCCAAATGCGATTCTCCAGTCTGTCAGATAAGAGGCCGAACAAGATTGTGCCGACGAGACCAACTGCGTACGCGGCTGTGGGGATGCTGGGAACATTTCAGCCAAAGGACGTGTTTCGTACTCTTCGAATACTCACACGTTGATCTCTTGAACCGTGTACTCGTTGAGAGTCTTTAGGTAAATTGCGAAGAAATCGAGGCCGTAGGTATCGATGCAGAAGAATCTTCGTCGTGTTAGCTAGAAACATTTGCCCATATGAGCAACTCACATGTAGTTGAGAATAAAGACCCAAACAAACGGGCGACTGAGAACGCTCCTAAATGTCTTAAGCGTCACACCCTCGAACCGCTTGCGTCCGACCTCAACCACTCGCGACTTTGCTAGTTCTCGCTCCTTTTCATTGAGATAAAAGACCCGCGTGTCATACGGACTATCAGGGACAGCAAAGAAGCCCCAGACCGCCCCGGGAACGTTGATGATTCCGCACATGATGAAGAGCCATCTCCAGCCTGGTATTCCATGGACGCCGTCAAGCCCAGTGTACACAGCTGCTTGAAGGTATCCTGAAAACATTTGGGCCGCGAACGATGCCGAGTAGAAAATGGTAGCGCGAGTGGCTAGCTCTGCTCAGTCGTTAGTTGGGGATATCTGGGCTTGCAGCTAGGATGTTTACCCTTGGGAGTGTACCAGCTTCCAAGAAGCGTCATGCCCCCGACGTAAAAGGGAGATTCGGCGAGGCCAAGCAAGAGTCGAAGGGCATAGATGTGCTTGTAGTTCTTGACAGCGGCAAAGCAGAAGGTGAGGATAGCCCATGTTACCTCGATGGATGGGAGCCAAATCGAGGGGCGCACATGGGTAACAATGATTTGGCTTGGAATCATTCCGACGGTGTAGCCTATTGTCCACAACGTTTAAAAATAATTGTATTGATCGGCGAAGAGTTCCAAGTCCTGTTGCCATTAGCACAGGAAATCGTCACGAGTGGTGGTATTCTAAGTATCACCTCTTCCATGCCAGACACGTATGCGTTTCCTTAAATAGCGGTTAGATGTTTTTGTGTAAGAAGCAGACGATAGAGAGAGGCTTGTAAGTACTTACGAAGATTTGAAGCATCCAAAAGTCTGAGGAAGTATCCGAAACATGCCCAGGAGCTTCTAGTGTTAGTCATTGACGTGAAGGAAGTGGAGTTCGCCCAGTATACTTACAGAATGAAGAAGTCGAGCTTCAGCAAAAGCTTTCGTTCTGCAGACCTACCGCTTCGGTGAAACCAACCACGTTTCCGCTGACCAGCAGTTTCCCCTTCCACATCACCGACAACATTATGAACAATGTCATCTCGCTTGGTGTGCGATAAATCTTGATCCGGAGTCAAACTGGACTTGTCAGCCATTTGGCAGATCTGGTTGGAAGGCCTCGCAGATGATACGACGGGCTAGAACAAGAAGCAAGCAGATCGTATTACTTATCAGGAGCGCGAAGAAGCGATGCGGAGCAATCTAGTTCTGCCCATTCTTGATGCCATGGCACCCAAGGAATGATGCAATGCCGGCATTGTGGATCGGTCTTTCACGCCAACGCTCTCCGTCACCTGGGTAGTAGACGCAGAGAGATTTGATGATTGGAGAAGAGGTGGTCGATTAACAGAAACCGGCGCCGAAAGCCGGCTTGCTGCATGTCCGCGCAACACCCGTGTCGTACCGACCGCCTAGGACGATTTACCATCAATCCTGATAATTGCGCCATCGTGCATCCGACAAATTGATGACCAAGTATCGCTCATTGTCCGGAATGTGGGCGGCCTGGATTCCAATGCGCTAGAGCATGAGGTCGATGCAGAGAAAAAGCCCTTTAACATGACGAGCGTGTGACCGCGGACTACTGAGCAACATTTGGAACTGACAGAGCCTCCAGGTCTTTGGGCAGCAATAACCCCTATCAATACAGCCATGACTGCCGACATCATTCCGTACGAGCTCTATTCAGACGCTCCAGGCTTTCTGCTCAATAAGCTTGAATGGGAGAAGGCAAATGCAGCTCACCCCGAAACCTCGAGCTTTGGCTCAATTCCAAAGGGGTGGCCATCTCAATTTGCTGGGCCTCAGACGTGGACTGGTCAATATTTAGAGCAGCATCGTAAGTTACCTACTTGTAAGACAAAGACAAAGGGCGAATGCCGAATCTATGCAGCCGAAAAGTACATCAAGCACCTCTCCCAAGAGCATATCGATGAGATAGATGCTGCCATCAAGGTGAGAGCATGTTGAGCGCGCCCTATTTCAATGACCAGACGGCTATCTCATACCTGTCGGCACAGAATTGGAAGAAGCAATCCCTTCTTCTTTCCAGTATTGGTCGATCGAACTTTCAGCTTCCCATCCTCGGGCCAATGCTGCGCGGAGTATCCGATGAAATCTACAACGGCATCGGGGTTCAGATTCTCAAAGGGTTCCCGGTCCAGAAGTATGACAAGACGGACCAGATCATTGCTTTTCTCGGAATCAACGCGTGAATTGGCGATCGACGTCTCAATCAGGGAGCGGACCGGGCCATATGCCATATCAAGGTGTGTATCAAGTATCCATGCCGCCTTCGTCCATGGGTTGCTGACAATCGCCAGAGCATTTCACATTTGAACCCAGAAAACCGTGGAAAGATCTATGTTTCTGCTCAAGACACCAACGCACAATTCTTTCACAGCGACGCCGGCAGTGATGTAGTTGGACTCATGGCTGTGAGCCTTTCAGGTCACGGAGGTGCATCGACTATCGCCAGCGCTGGACAATTGTACAGCCATCTTGCCATACATCGACCTGACATTGTCCGGCTTCTGGCCGAAAAGAGGTTCCGCTGGAGAGCGTACGTGTATCCCCCAACACAAATTGGAAGGTTCTCACGATATTTAGCAACGGCATACCCGACGATGGGGTTCACTTGATTCATAACAAAGACGGCCGCCTATTTCTCAATTTCTCGACACGGACTTTCATTGGCTACCGAGAGGTGAGTCTTGAATATGATAAGTGCACATTACAGTGATTGACGATTAATAGATGCCCGATCGGGATGCTGATTATCCACCATTGTCCTTCGAAGAGCGAGAGGCCTTTGCGGGCTGGCAGTGGGTGGCCGACGAGTACAGTCTCAAGACAGATCTTGAAGTAGGTGATATTGAATGGTACGTTGCTTTCAAGTCCTCCCCGAACCCGTTCTCCCTCTGACTAAGACCCATTTAGGGTGAACAATCTTCACCTTCAACATGCACGCCGCGGCTTTACCGAGGACATCACGAATCCTAGACATCTCGTCCGGATCTGGCTGAGCGATAGCGAAAACTCGCCCGAGCTTCCTGAAGACATCAAGCGGAAGTTCGACGCCATGGTTGCCGAGGATCCGAATTTCTTTCCACTTGATGAGATCGAGGAGGACTTGAGGCGGAGGCAGAGCGGGATCTTCACCGGCTCGTGTAAGCAAGAGACAGCTGACGAGAGGCTGCAAAGCGGGGGCATTCAAGCGTTGAACTCCCGAGTAGTCCGTTAGTTGCACGGCGTGACACGTTACAGGAATATTGAGCTTCGAACCTATGAATGGTGATTTCTGTTTCTCATTTCCTTGGCTTGGTTGCGTCTAAATGCTGACATCCGGCGTGTAGATCATGATGAGCCTCGACGCGAGCGTTACTGTCTTAGACACCGGCGCGGGCCTACTCGCTTCGGCCGTTGTCAGCATAAGCAACCCGGCACTAGAATGCCGAACGTTTTCTTGCAATGTTTGCGATGATTCAGATAGAAGTCTGAACATTCTGTACCAATGGAAACGGTTTTCATCTAAATACTGCTGAGGCCAGCTCGGTTCGCATGGATTTTGCAAGTAATATGCTGCACTGTACCACCAAACACGGAAAAGACATGGCGGAAAATCTGGCAGAGACATGGAAGTGACACAAAAATGCATCAAAGGGCTATTATTGATATTCTGAATTTGCAATTCCCCTTTCCCTGGACAAGACAAGCTGCCAAATAAACCTTTAACTCCGGATGCTAACAGATGGATCCCATGTCGTCCTGAATATGGTCTGTTTCCTGTATCCCATTGCTTTGCAACCATTCATTAACCCCATTCTTGCTCTAAAAAGCCGTTGGTGTGGCGCAAACCGGCGACGTCACCGTCGTAGGCACTGTGGCCGGGACGTAGATGACCTTCTCATAGGCGGGTCCGTGGCCACCCCAGTTAGGAGCCTGCGCGTCGGCAGTTGTAACGTGAGCACAGCCATGGCAGTCGACGGGGCTTGGTACAGTGACTGTGCTGTTGTACTGTGTGATCGTCGTCGTCGGCTGGAAGTCGCCAGTGAACCCAGGGTCGAAGTGTGTAACGGTAATTGTGCAGTCGCTCACGGCTGGTGGAGCGGTAGGCTCTGGCATTGGGCTAGCAGCTGCAAGGGCAGCGAAGCCAACAATTACTGAAACGACGGAAGTGCGCATTTTTGTGATAGTTTTAACGAATGTTAAGTTCAAGTTTGATTAAATTCCGTAATTGCGTAATCGGAGATGAAGGTGCTGCCAAGATTGAACAAGACGGGGAGCCAAGACCTCAATATTTATATTGCTCTTCACCTTGCAGATCTTCGGATCTGCTGGAATCCTAAAGGATTCTTAATGTTAAGGAACCATGCTGATCGTTGTCTGAGATCGGATGAACGGCAAACTAGCGGGGAGCCAGAGTCCTCTCCGTGTTGATCTCCCACCCGTTGTGTGACGATGAAGGCTATTATTATCATTAAGTTCTACGGCCATCCCGCCGCCACTTCCTGCTATTCACTGGGGAATAATGAGGGATTCGCCGAAAACAATTTGGGCTCGTATTGCAGTTAAAGCGCCCCCTGAGCGCTCAGCCCGAATATGATGGGGCGCACTGTTGTAAGCTTTCTAGGGTGGGGTAAACAAGCTGTCAAGCCTCCAAAGTTGATTGCGAAAACGTGGGTGTCCCCTGCTAAATGGTCCGATGATGTGCCTCCTTTTGAAAGCTTGTTTCTCCGAGCGGGTCGGACGATCTGTTCAGGAACGAAATATTATTATTGAAACTTGCAGCTTACCTGACGAGTCAACAATCGTCGTGGATTCATACTTAAAGCTGCGGATGCAACTACTCTTCGCCGGACTCATCCACCGGGACGGATTCACCCACCGGAGCGGACACACCCATCGGGCCTAAAACGGTCGGCGTCGCCACTCCTGCCACTCCAGCTCCGCCGGTTTCATTGCCCGCGCAAAAGGAAAACCAGTTCATCCTGCAGGTGCTACAGCAAGGAAAAGATATCGCAGCCACAATCAAGCGCATCATCGAAATCGAAGGACAGCTCGAAGGTTGGTTATATTGTCAAATAGATCTGACCCCGCGAGCCAAAGCAAATCTGTGGATTTCCCCGCAGGACAGCTTGACGGATAACCACGTGGAAGCAGACCATCTTCCAGCCCTTGCAGCATGGTAACATCTATCCCACACGAACAGTGATACCAAAATAAGCAGATCATAGTACCCACTAGCCCCAGAGGCAGTGCTTGATTCGCATGAGAAATACCACTGCAATCTTCGATGCGGTTGCGGTTGCATTGTGTTATCAAAGTTTTGGCCCAGCCTATGCAGTCAGTATTATTGTAGTATATTCTCATGATTTACTTACAATGAAGAAAAAGCCTCGTAGCAGAATGTTTGTCTTGCAGGTATCTCCAGCATTTAGCCAAAAGCATTTGGCCGTAGTGTGATCAGTCTTGTCTTCAGCAACGCACATGATTTGTCGGAAGTTGGCGCGGCTGATGAACTGAACGACGCCTTTGCTGGCCGAGCTCGGCTGGCTGTATGTGCATTCCGCCCTAGGGGGTTGGCCCTGAGCGGCACCGACTTGCAGTGTTCCGTGGTAGACTCCGCTGGGTTGGCGGATCAATGAGGTCCAAGAACTGAAGAGGGGGGTAATTTCAACAGGTGCATCCGCGCAAGTCGCTTCCGCAACAGCAAGCTGCCAGAAGAGCGCCATGAAGAGCACCCGAAGTACGGGAAGGAAGAACTTGTTCATGTTTGCAGTTGTTTTTGAATGACAATCCGAGGCAGATGGTCGGGAACATGGAGCTCAAACAATTCTCAACCGACAAAACGACAGCTTAAGTACTAAAAGAAGTTGACGAAAGCTCTGCACAGCCGTTGATTTCTTCGCCTCGGTATCGCAAATTAGACCTATTCTATGGAGTCTTGGATCTGTAAACTTTCATCTATGATTTAGTGTGCGTCTTTTACATCGCGAGAAAAACTTTGCTGCACGAATGACCGAGTTTCGGAATCAGGCCGAACAACACATTCCACCTACCCCCAGTAGTCGTGGAATGCCTCTGTCAAGGGAAATGCTTAATTGATTGTGACCTCAACTTCGCTAACCTTCGCTGATGAGGTTGAAAACTCTGAAATCTTTCATTCACGGGGACATCACCTTGCTGTTCTGAAGACACTTGCATAATTTGGGAAAGGATGGTTAAGCCCAAGTAGCAGGTTCTGCTCTCGCGAATTGGCCATACGTATTCCCGCAGGGCATGTCTGCGACTTATTAACATAGACATTGTTTAGCAACATTTCCAAGTGACTTTGAACATGAGAACAGGTGGATAGACTTCCAAAATTGTTCTTGCGATGGAAATGTTGTCCTCGATGCTCGTAAGGAAATGAGCCATTAGTCGGTGATCACTAAGGTGAGGGTTGTTACGAGTCAGTGTCAACATGCAAGCGTGTGCGCCACATAAATTGCTGCTGGTAAGCTATACAGACAGCAATGTGTTTAAGAAAGTATATTCTCGGCCATTTCCGCGATTCCCTGACATGAAGGAGCATAAAGAAAGGAGCATTCCGTTACCATTTGCTACGGCACCTCCAGGATCAACCCGCTCATCCCCACACTCGTTTTGTCTGATCGAACCAACGCCCTTGGACTTATTTCCTCGAAAATGAACTTCAAGTCGGCTTTCCTTCTTCTCGTCGCTGCGTCATCAGCATGCGCCAACCCAGTTGACCTCTGCAAGAAGGCCGCGGACGGCACAGTCGATAAGCGTTGCGGTGGTCCCATCCTTGACCATTGCAATTGCAAGATGTACGTTCACTTCATTACCGACGTCAGCAGCTTTTCAGTCAAGCATTTTATACTGACCAAATCTCTTTACAGGTGGGTCCCTGGAAAGACCGCGGCTGATCCTCGTCAATACCTGTCTGGAGACTTCCCATACGGTACTGGAGTAACTCAAGGCACCATGAAAGCCACAGGAGGCGCGGGTCAAGGCAGCGTCTGCGCGGTCACCTGGGACAGAGGAGACAATGGACGTTGTGGATACTGGAAGCAGATCAGTGGCCCAACTGGGTCGGGATGCCAGCAATACCAGAATGTTTGGTTCAGCTGCGACGAAGTTTACGCATAGTATCCAGATTGGCTGTTGTCAATTTGAACTTGGGAGGAGGCTCTCTCAAGAATTTCCCTGGAGCGCTTCTTTCTTTGTGTTATTGGACACATGGTATAACGGGTTATTTATGGTGATATTGCTGCACCGCAAAGTCCGACTCGTACAAGGCTGTCTGAAAATTCAGGGATGGGGGATATACCTACCATTACATGCACACGATTATTGCATTCCAAAAGTTATTTGCTTCGACTCTAGAGAGAATATCTCCAGGATGCCCGTGTGCGGGTGCTAAGATCGTGGCGAAGCTTCATGTTTTCGACCAACCATGCTTACAAGTGATGCTGGAAACCCCGCGAACACTACATACACGCGAGGTACTATTGGCTGTATTTGTAACTGCATTCACGTCATTGGAGCCGGCTACTAGTAGTTGTGTAACTGAAAAGTTTGGCTTGCGCGAATTCCAAATTCACACGGCAACCAGTAAGCAAGGCTGACATGCAGGCAGATTTTGCGAGGATCGACACAGGACCTCACTAAAATGATTACCCCGCCCATCTTCTGCAACTTCGAATCCTCACACCTTCTGTCGCCAACGTGGGGTTTCAGAGAACAAGAAGCTCTTGATAATCTGTGTCTTTGTTCTGAGAATTCCAACCTGGCGCGATCTTGAGGGACGTCGCCTGTACTCCCTCATCTTTCGGTTGAAGACTAAGCGAATTCATCCAGTGTCTGCGTAGTGCGGACGACTTAGCCTATCAAAAGCCATGTCATTTCCAATATTAGACAAGAACTCCTATACCATCGGATGGATATGCGCTCTATCCGTGGAGTCCGCCGCAGCACAAGCCTTCCTAGATGAACAGCATGATGTACCGAGGGAGATTTCAGACAACAACAGTTATGTCACCGGCAGAATTGGAAGACACAATGTGGTAATTGCCGTTATGCCTCAAAAGGAGTATGGTACAACTACTGCTGCTACGACAGCAAAGGATATGATACGCAGTTTCCCCCAGATTCGACTTGGTGTGATGGTAGGCATTGGTGGAGGGGCTCCCAGCCAGGAACATGATATCCGACTTGGCGACGTCGTTGTCAGCAGTCGCGGTAAAGGCAGCGGCGGTGTCATCCAATTTGATTACGGAAAATCGATACAAGGTGAGGATTTCCAGGAAACCGGGCATCTGAATCAACCGCCTACTTCCTTGTTGACGGCGGCGGCTGCACTCGACGCACGATACGACTTCGAAGGCCCTCGGCTGAATGATAAAGTGAACGAGGCTCTTAAAGGCCGCCGCAAAGCATTCAGAAACAAATACTCCCGCCCTTTAGACGACACTGATAGACTATATCGGCCTGAGGTTACACACCCTGACAACCTACCCGGGGATTGTGTTGCCACATGCAGTATCAAGCCCAAGGATTTGGTGGAAAGGTATCCGCGAAGCGAGGACGACGACAACCCAAGCGTTCACTACGGTCTGATTGCATCATCTAATCAAGTCATGAAGGACGCCATGAAAAGGGACAAGTTGGTTCAACGAGGAGTTCTTTGCTTCGAGATGGAAGCAGCAGGCCTCATGAATGACTTCCCATGTCTGGTTGTCCGCGGCATCTGCGACTACGCCGACACTCACAAGAACTCAAGCTGGCAGCCTTATGCAGCAATGGTGGCAGCAGCTTACACAAAAGATCTTCTAGCATTGGTTAATCCTACATCAGTTGAGGGAGAAAAGAAGCTTTCAGACCTTATTACTTCTGGTAAGTCAAAAATGAGGACTTCTAAATAGTCTAAGCCTAACATCGAGACAGTCGCATCGACCCAGAAAGAGCAAAGTAAGATTTTGCATGCGATGGATTCACACCAACGTGCCCACAACCTCAAAGAGTGGCTTTGCCCGGCTGAGTCGTCAGACAACGCAGAGCGCGCGAGAGATCAAAGATATGAAGGGACTGGCACATGGCTTCTGGAATCTGATCCATTCCAGGAGTGGTTGGCAGGCGGTTGCCAACATCTCTGTCTCTATGGACCTGGAGGTTGCGGGAAAACGGTTTTGAGTTCGACTATTCTTGACTCCCTCAAAGAGAGCCATAACGGGGTGATCCTGTACTTCTTTTTCGACTTCAGTGACTCTCAGAAACGCACAGTCGGTGGCTTGATAAGGACATTGCTCTTTCAACTATGCTCCCTCGAAGAACCCGCAAGGATACTAGACATACTGCGAGGGAACCACGATGACGGAAAGATACCGCCCAACACTCGAGACCTACTGAACCACTTCCAAGACTTTCTTGGAAGGGTCAAAAGTCCCGTAATTTTGATGGATGCCCTAGACGAATGCAATGAGGAGGATCAAGAGCAGGAGAAGCTAATCAAGTGGCTCATCAATCTCGGTTGGGCGTCTAGTCTCAAACACGTCAAGATTATTACCACGGCACGACCGGAAGCTGCCTTTTTGACTGGCCTCAGTCCAAATTTATCGACCGGAAAAAGGGTGCATCTCGATAAGGAAGCCATCAAAATTGACATCCAGTCCTACATCAAGGGATGCTTGCGAGATAGACCAGGGTTTCACACCTACGCACCAGACCACCCCATAGTCAGCATGATTCCGGAGAAGCTGATCGAAAAGGCGGACGGCATGTGAGTATGGGAGAGTTCCACCGCGACAGACTTGAAAGTTGATCAGTATATAGGTTCCGTTATGCAGCCTGTCAAATTGACGACATTGTCAGCTGCCTCTCCCCAGAGGAAATTGAAGAGGTCCTGGATTCTTTGCCGCAGACAATCCAGGAAACATACAGGCGAAGCATTGAAAGAATTCCACGAAGATACCACGACAAGGCCATTCGTCTGCTCCAATTTCTCGTAAATCTGGACAAGCCGCTCGATCTCATGGCAGCTGTCGACATCGTGGCCGTGCGTTCTGATTTCCGAAAGTTTGCCCCGACAGATCGGATTCGTCCTGCAGATATTGTTCGATTATGTCCGAACCTTTTATCAATCACGGAAGGAAAGCGCTATTATCATGCGGACCCGCCCACGAAGAGCCAGCTTCACTTGGCCCATTTGTCGGTGAAAGAATACCTTCTTCACTACGACTGCCCCACATTCACATTCATTGGCGGTAGTGCCAGCGTGAACATCGTGCGCACTTGTCTATCCTACCTCCTTCACTCTCATCCAACGGGGGGGTTTGACAATGAAAAAGACCACGATCAACAGGCCAGCTTTCCGTTTGCGAGCTATGCTGAGTCCGTATGGGTTGGCCAAGCAGCAGCTGCTGAAATATCACCAGAAGCAGTCTCTGCATTGGCTGTTGACTTGGAAATGGGCTCCTGGAGACGGCATCCTTGGCATATGAGGAAGAGACTAGAAAATATGTTCCAACTTGGCGATCTCGAGACAGGCAACCTACACTTTGCAGCTGGACTGGATCTTCGAGAAACAGCCAAGCTTTTGATACTGCGTGGTGCAGACGTCGGCGACAAGGAGGAATCCTGCATGACTCTCCTGGAAATCGCGTCATACATGGATCAAGTAGAAATTGTGCAACTTCTACTTGGTGCCGGGGTTAGTCCCAACACCAAAGGCAATACCGCCCACGGGAGTGCTTTCCGGATTTCCTGTATGCGGGGTAATCTAAGGATTGCGAAACTTCTTGCAATGAACGGAGCTGATCTTTGCAGACTAGAGGGCGATAAAAGGTTGGAAAAGGGCCCACTTCAAATCGCCGTGATGAGAAGAGATATAAAGCTTTTTGAAGTTCTAATAGATGCGGGGGTCGACATCGATGCAGATTGCGGCTACTTTGGTACCGCCCTACATACCGCTTGTGTATTAGGCTTCGATGACGTTGTTGCATGGCTTCTGCAGCATGGCGCAAACCTGAACGCAAAAGGAGGCCCCTTTGAGCACGCTCTCCAAGCTGCCGCTCAAAAAGGCCACACAAATACCGTCAAGCTTCTACTGGATGAAGGATCAGATGCCAATGCCCAGGGTGGGAGATATGGGAACGCTCTCTGCGCCGCTGTCATAAGCGGTCATAAATGCAGTATTGAGCTCCTGATAAACAATGGGGCAGATGTCAACTCTCAGGGTGGCCGATACGGAAACGCTTTGACAAATGCGTGCATGCGCGAGTTTCCGGAAATCACGAGATATCTCCTCGAACAAGGAGCCGATGTGACGGCAACTATCCCAGGCTTTTGGAAGACTCTTCAGGTATTTGTTGGAAGACGCTCTTTACATTGGACCGTCCAGAAAACAGATATTCTGGAAAGCCTTCTCGGAGCTGGCGCAGAGCTCCACCCCCATGGAAGCCCAAGCGCACTGAAGCTTGCCGTCGATCGTGGACATCTCGAACCTACGCGAATTTTGCTGAGCAGAGGAGCCGACCCAAACATTCTGTTTGATGCCTCCTTCCCTCTATTCGATCACAGTCTTCTGATCGAGTCTCTTGTCAAATCACAGCCAGAAATCGCCCAAGAGCTTCTGCGATACGGCGCAGATCCAAACGCAAAGACTTCACATCGTCTTCCCAACCAGACAGTTCTTCATCTAGCCATAGACAAAGACTTTCCTGAAGTCGTGTGTCTTCTCTTGGAAAAAGGAGCGGACCCCGAGAAACTGAGCGGCTTTCCTCCTTTTACCCCACTACAAATATCTCTTAAGAAGGGTTCCATCAGATGTGTACGCCAATGCCTAGAGCATGGTGCAGATGTCGAAGCGCTAGGAGGGTATAGCCAGAACCTTACTGCTGTCGAGATGGCACGGAGAGTGGGAAACGAAGTGATACTTCAATTATTGGAAAAGGCAGGAACCGAGAAAAGGAGTGGCAAACGACGGCGCAGAGAAACCGACTACAGTGTGGCCGGTAGTCTCCTGAAGCGTCGCGCATTAGGGGGAAGTAGTCTTGGGGACTCCTAGGCTCCGCATGAGCATGATCAGAGTCCAGACCTAAATGACAGGGGAAGAGGCAACCTTTGGAGCGTGGATCACTTGAAGTTTGATGGCTACCTTTCTGGGTGAGCTGTGTTCACTTGGTGTCGGGTTTCATGGAGTTTGCGGGCTTGGGATCGTTTATTTACACTCGATTTCGTTCGTTCATTCCCGTGTTTGCTCACCTGCTAGTTCGTAGAGAATGACATCTCACAAAAGCATTGCTATCTCAACAGCCCACCATTTCTTCCGTGAAAGCTGGTTAAGATTCAGCACAACTCAAGGCCTTGGTGGTAAGACATCTGAGACCTAGTAGTGCTTCGCGACATATTGCGACCGTCAGGTAAGATCGCCGTGGAGACGCTGGATCATGTAAACTTAGCCTTCAAGGGACGGGCAGTGGGAAACATTCGGCGTCAGCTACTCAGCTATGACCCAATTCGATACCAGGTGGACGGAACGTGGTTCATAAAGGCAGGGCGTGGGGCTGGCCGCTGCTTCGGTGCAGGTGTTAGTAGGACGTCGGCAATATAGGGCGGCATACACAACCATCTACTGAGCCAAACATTCGACCCAACTGAAAGCTCCGTACCTCAGGTGAGAAGATATCCAGGTAGTCCTACTCTAAGTTGCGGCGAGCCCCCCTCTGGACACACATCTCGACCAACATGCCAATCTTTGGGTACAAGACCCAGTACCACGGACCGGGGAACGATCGAAAAGCAAGTGAATGGTGCTTGCACGCTAGAGAGGCCCCACGTGTTTGATCTGGGGGACACTTAATGGGGCCGATTAGGGAAATGTAACCTTTGATGATTGTTGCGGTTGGACGTTGGAATGTGGGGTAAGGCATGTTACGGCTGAGATACGCCGGGGGTTGGAGGGTGTAACGATGGTATCAAGATATTGCTGTCAGTCTTGAGAGAAAGAGGGGACGTTTTCATGTAAAGTGATAGTTTTATGGAACGGAAGGGCCGATACAAAGTGCGCATGACCGGGTCGTGAAGCAGTCAGACGGCGCCCGAGTATGGCGGAGCTGGACGCCGGGCTGCGGACGGCCGGCACGGTTGGGTGCTCACTTTGACAGACGGCCCGGAGCAGTGTACCTGGACCCGGTGCGACCTGCCAGTAGCTGTCAGGTAGTCAAGAAGACAGGGACGCACTGCAGCAGGGCCTTATCAGTGTAACGAACCCACGACGTCGGAGGTGAACAATGCAACTGGCCTCCCGCTGCAGAAAAGGTTCGAGTCCCCGTCGCACCTTGATTCTTCACTTGTGATAACCAAACTCAACCTTGATAAAGGGTCTCGTGCTGCAGATTGAAAAGATAGTAGGAAAGGTAGAGAGTAATTGCGACGCTCCTTCCTGGTCGTCTGGAATCGAGGGAAACGTTACATGCCAGCACGGGCCACGCCGTAAGCTAGCGCCCATTGGCTGAACGCTTGTCTCTATCTTGGCTTTTTGGGGTGTGCCACTTTTATTTCTCCGCACGGGGAGGAGCGGAGCACGCGCTGGACTGATGGCAGGCATGCAGCCACGCTCGCACTTGCCTGTTGTCAAATCAGACGGATAGTGACAGGAGGAGCGAAGGATGGAAGAGAAGGGAAGGCACGACACGGCATTTCAATTGGCATGTCAAGCATCGAAAGCCCCAGCTGAATCAGGCGTCTTACACCGCACTGGAATTCGGCTACCCATCAGCAGGGCGCTTCGTATTTTCCCAGCAGTTGGTTGCGCCACTGTCGCAGGCAGAAGAAGAGTCAGCCGCACGTTGTGTTGTGTCTCGCCCGTCGTCTGCGCCGCACAGTTAGTCCACCGCGTAGAGCCAATGGCGTAGTGTCCTTCTATCCCAGATCTCGTGTCAGCATTTAACGGGATGCAGGTGATGGCGGTGGCATCTGCAATGCGGTAGTAGGTAGATGTATCGTTCGGCATTGCGATGGCACAGTGCGATCCTTACTTCGGTTTTCCACATCCACAAAGTTGAAGCCACTCTGAGTCTCCCGTGGTGGTGCGGTTCGTGCTCCTTCCCCAATCGGCCGAGGCACGAGTCGCAGGGGCCAATCGCCAGCCGAAGCCTGAGGAAAAGGAGGTCGTGCCGCCACCTCGTGATCTCGGCCTTTGTTCGACTGTTATCGATTGGGGTAAAGTGGGCCCTATGGGGCCCTGGTTCACTTTCTCTGTTTTCGAAGTCCCAATCTCGTTCTCGCCGAGTCCCGAGCCACAGCACACGACCACAAACCAACAGCCAGCCCAGTGATCGCCAGCAATCCTCACGTTTCACGCAAAGGAGACAAACAAACGCACTCGAATTAAGATTAAAACTTTGTACGCGATACCTGGCAGCTCTCAAGTTGATCAAGGCCGGCTGCATCTGCAAATGTGGTGCGATGACTTCCCAGGCGAGTCACTCACGCAGGCACGCAGGCACGCAGGCTGCCGGGCGCCGCAAACAGAAGCCGCCCGCCCCCCATCGCCATGGCTTGGGATCGCCGCGGCGTGCCGTCCGGGACCGTTGAAGTTTGTGTCTAAAATTGGCTGACGGGCTGCGGCAACCGGATCTTTCATGCCTGGCGTCGCTTTTTTCGTGTGTCTGCCGAGGCGAGATGAGGTGATGATTTGCCTGCCTGCCTGCCTGCCTGCCTGGCTTTTGATGCCAAAGAACAAGTCAATCAAGCCTTTCGTCATAAACGAGTTTATCTACGGATTATCAGACGATGCGACAGGATTCGACCATATCTCCGGCCAAACAAGACCGGGAACCGTCTTTTCTTATCAAACGGCGACGTCCCGGGTCTCCATCCATATCAGTGGAACACACACCCCAGGAATGCAGGTGAGGAGCCTCAAGGATGCTGTGCTTGCTGATGAACCCTGGAAATGGCCTGGGCTCCTCCCGCCCATCGGCTGCTCCCCCGTTGCCTAGCACCACCACACCACCCATGTGCTTTTTTTTTTGTTCCTTTTTTCATTTTCACTCTGCGCGGGCCACCATCACGACCCAACATTCGACTTGCTGAGCCATTGTTCATCTGCAAAGATTGCCATTGTCACCTTTCAAGTGGCCGAGTCGGCGTCCGCCCGAGCTCTAAAAGGTGGGGGAGACGGGCACAGGATGACTGGTGCTAGTGTGCAACTCCATCTCAACTGGAATTGGTGCTGATGGTGATGGGTGTTCTAGTCCGTTTCGTTTCGTCTCGTTGGTTCATGTGCCTTCGCCTTCGCTGTAACCGTAGCCGTAGCCTGCCACATACCTAATCCGCATCTCCAGACGCCTACCACCATCCTTCACCAGCTTGATCTCAGCCCAGATTGCCTCCCGTCTGAGTCGCCCAGCCTTCTCCTCCAGCTGATAGGCACCAGGTCCAAGACATGGACTCTACCACACCTTTTCGCCGTCTGCCCGGTTGGTTGTGTCACTGAGGCTTGTTTGGAGACGCGAATGTCAAGAATCCTTCAACACAACGGACAGCAGTTGCGATACCTTTTCGTTCTTTCCTATGGACAGTTCGTTCCTACCACACGTCAGACGGGCACACGCGCAGCAGCGACTACCGCAGGCAGCTCCTTCTCGCTGCTACCTTACCTCACCTTGCCTTGCCTCACAGATACCTACAGACCGGGGTAGCTCCGGCCCAGTTCTGACCGTCCATTCGGTCGGCGCTGCCTTCCTCATCCTCCACAGCTAGCTCTGCACATCTTTCCTCGGCCAGTCGTAGTTTCCGTAGTCGTGCCTTCCTGCCTTTCGATGCCCTTCGTGCCTTCCCGCTGCCTATTGCGCCGGCAAAAGGAAATTCGTATCGAATATTGTGAATCAGAGGGAAGCAGGACCCGTGCGGTCTCTGGTGATCTCTTTCCCAGCTGAGACTAACGTCTTTGCATCCCGAACAAACGTCCCCCAAAGCATCCCTTTCCCCAAATCTCCAATCACCACCGCCACCACCATCCCCCGGTCTCATCCTCCTCCTCCTCCTCCTCACCTCCCTTACCCATGCCCATCCCATCCCTTCACTTCCCTGCCCCTCGCTACCCTACCACACGCCACGCACCAAAACCACCACCAAACACCCACACTCCCATCAAACCACCCCGGCTCTTCCTCCAGACCACCGACTCCACTCACGATCATCGCCCAGTGCAACTGCAACCTGCAGCCCGATAAACCGTCCCATAAAGAAGCACCGCATCCGTCCCCGGACCCCTTCTTTCGACCTCGTGGTCTCATTCTCCTCCCTTCCCCTTCTCACCCCCAATTGCGCGCCTAATCTGCACCCTGCGCCCAGCCGAGCCGTCATCGTCCGGTCACGATTGAGTTTGCAACCTCCGACAATTCTCAGTCACATCAAGCGCCCCGGCTCACACCACTGCCGACCGCATTTCAACTGCCGAGGCGCGACGCGCTTGTCGAACGAACCTCACTTCGCTTCAATTGACCTCACCTCACTCACTTATCCTCAGACATCACCAAGCCGCAACCATGTCTACAGAAGAGAAACTCCAACCCGAGTCCGCCACCACTCCGGGCGACACAGTGCACTCCACCACCCCCGATGTCGACGGCCCCGCCCCGCGCCCGGCCGGCTGGATGTACAAGGGCTTCCGCGTACGTGGCCATGAGCTGTGGTACGCTTCCCCGCGCATCCAGCTGTTCATGGTGTCCTTCATCTGCTTTCTGTGCCCCGGCATGTTTAACGCCCTGACCGGTCTCGGCGGCGGTGGTCAAGTCGACACAAAGGCCCAGACCGACGCCAACACCGCTCTCAACTCCACCTTCGCTGTCGTCGCTTTCTTCGCCGGCACTGTCGCCAACCGTCTCGGCCTGCGTCTCACCCTTGCTCTCGGAGGCTTGGGATACTGCATCTACGCTGCGTCCTTCCTGTGCTACTCTCACACTGAGAACCGCGGCTTCGTCATCTTCTCCGGCGCCTTCCTCGGTGTCTGCGCCGGTCTTCTGTGGACCGGTCAGGGCGCCATCATGATGTCCTATCCCACCGAGAAGGAGAAGGGCCGCTACATCTCATGGTTCTGGATGATCTTCAACCTTGGTGCCGTCATCGGCTCTCTGATCCCCCTCGCGCAAAATATCCACACCATCTCCGGCCCCGTGTCCGACGGCACCTATGCCGCCTTCATCGTCCTCATGTTCCTCGGCGCCGTTATCGCCCTGTTCATGTGCGACGTCCCCAAGGTCTACCGCGAGGACGGCTCCAAGGTCATCATGATGAAGAACCCCACCTGGCAGTCCGAGTTCAAGGGTCTCTGGGAGACGCTCTACAACGAGCCCTGGATCCTCCTCCTCTTCCCCCTCTTCTTCACTTCCAACATCTTCTACACCTACCAGACCAACAACATGAACGCCGGTCAGTTCAACGTCCGCACCCGCGCCCTCAACAACCTGCTCTACTGGCTCTTCCAGATCTTTGGCGCCCTCATCTTCGGCTACGCCCTCGACCTGCACTCTGTCCGCCGCAGCGTCCGCGCCAAGGGCTCTTACATCGCTCTTACCGTGCTCACCATGGTCATCTGGGGTGGCGGCTGGGCTTGGCAGAAGGAGCAGCCCACTCGTGAAGCTGCCGGTGCGAAGGACTTCGTCAAGATCGACTGGACCGACGGTGGCTCCACGTACCTTGGCCCCATGTTCCTCTACATCTTCTACGGCTTCTTCGACGCTGTCTGGCAGACTTGCATTTATTGGTACATGGGTGCTCTGTCCAACTCCTCGCGCAAGGCCGCCAACTTGGCTGGCTTCTACAAGGGTGAGTTCAACCTACTTCACACCATTGAGACACAAGACTAACAAATCGCTAGGAATCCAATCCGCCGGTGCCGCCATCTTCTGGGCCCTCGACTCCAACAAGGAGCCGTACGACACCATGTTCGGCGCCACCTGGGGCTGCCTCGCCGCCGCCCTCATCATCGGCGCCCCCATCATCTTCTGGAAGATCAAGGACACCGTCGCGCTCGAGGACGACCTCAAGTTCACCGACGAGACCATCGCGGACGTCGTTGCGCCAGGCACGATCGAGCCCAAGCCCGAGAAGGAGGTTGCCTAATTATTTGATCTGATATATGACATATAACGGGGATGTAATTGGTATTTGGATGTGTTTGTCATGGGTGCTGGAAATGATATCCCGGGGTGCTTTGGAGATGATGTGTTGATGAGAGATGAGGATACCTCACCACTATGTGGTCGTATTTACTAAATAATACACACTTGATATGACTTTGCCTGGTCTTCTTGACTTCTGTGTGATCAGCTATCTTGCCACAAGATACATTTGAGAACCACATTCAACCCCAAAACCTAACTTTAGCCTTGCGTGGTATCTGTCTTCAAGTCTTACAAAAGTCTGTTCCAATGGGTGCTATATATGACATCTAGGCCGCGGTGACATGCGGAAGCGTCCCTTCGAAACAGCATTAGAAGTGAATTGCATATCATCCTGGCCATGGACAAGTCGTCTACAATCCAGTGGAATCATGCTCAGTAACCGTAAAAGGAATCAAACAGAGACTGCCTATTTTTGCCTCCGCCAGAGCCACTATATTTCCTATATACTGAGTAAGTCTAACCAGGGGCAATGGTAAAAGGGTAAAAAGTTAACAGAAGTGATAACGATAAAAGACGCCCATAAACGACGACCATAAATGATGGTGGAGGTAATAACGACAGCGATCACAATAATAATAACAATAGCACTAGCTGTAGAGTATATATGAACCTATAGGAATGATAGTTGCTCTAGCATATGGTGGTTAGGCAATCTCATCAAAGCACAGGACCGGGCGGCCATAAGCTCACGGTATGTTGGCTCTCAATTCGTCACTGAGCCCTGACCACGTTCATGTATTGGTTAAATATCAAATGTGCGGAAGCGTGGCCCGTCTCAAATTTCTATGATTGGGATCTATGTGTGAGCAAAGGGAGGTGGCTACAAACAATGATAATGATATCACTTGTAAACCTTTGTGTTTTGTTCATTGTTCGGAGAGACAGGCATGAACAGGCGGTGTTCCGACAAAGAAGGAAGGAACGTGAAGCAGGCACTACCCACAGGCCTTCCCTCTTCTTGATATTCATGCCTGGAGAAGGTGCTAGGCAGCTGCACCTGCCCAGATCCCCATCATCCTCCTGCGCATTTGCTACCCCATATAACAAACAGCAGCAGTGAGCGGTTGTTTTTCTCCTTCGTCTACCTCACACAAATTCTACGCGATCACTTTCCACATCCGCGCGCGTCTACATCATTTCTGTACCGAATTGATCTCCTACTTCAATCAATGGCGATCTTGAAGCCATAGCAATTACAGACGACGACCACGACGGGCAAAGACGACGTGCAAGAACGACGTGCGACAAGGACAACAACGACATCAAGAGCGACGGCAATAACGAAACATGGCACAACTATCAGACCTGCCACTGGAGATTATTCTCGAAATCTGCTCTTTTGTGCGACCTGATCTCCACGGCAAGGATATCCTCGACGGAAAAGAGTCCGGCAAAGTCGATCAGTATCAGGAGGTCCTCCGCGACCGCCGCAACTTGAAGTCGTTGAAAAGCTTTTGCCGCACTTGCAAGAAGTACAACAACCTCCGAGACACCCTACTCTTCACCACGATCGTTTCAAACCAAGACTTCAAAGAAGACGCCGTCTGGGATCTGATAACCATGATCGGCGGGCTCCTAAACAACCCGGGAGGACGAGTTCGCACCCGCAGCCTCCATCTGTTCTTTTACACCGTGGAAGATGAGCGGACGGTGGAGATGCCGTGTAGCCTTTCACCTACCCAGGTGAGAGCTCTGGAGAACGCCGCCGCCGCCGTGGGCATCGACACAACCAAGTTGATTCTCGACCTGTTCGGAGACGATCGAAAATTCATCACTCTCAAAGACGTCGTCAACCACACCGTGTACCTACGTTGCGACTGTATCTTAGGCTACGTAACGCTGCTTCTCATTCTCCTCTTGCCTAAGGTCCAAGATCTCACTCTCGTGATCAGCCTGCACGCCTACCACTGGATGATTCACATCTGGGCAAAGGCACGTTGCATCGGGCTTCCCCACGCGGCTATTCTACGACTCAAAACCCTCGCTATCAGCATCACCTCCTTCAAGTACCGAGACGACGATCGCGACAGAGGTTTCCGTTCCATGTTCGGCATGCAGCCATCCTGCGAGGTATATGGACAGATGTGCGAGTTCCAAGCCACGCAGATGACTGAGTCCAAAATAACCTCACTGACTCTCAACCTATCGCCTATCAAGACCCCAGAGCTGTGTCGACTTATCCAAAGGCTTACGACGCTGAAAAAATTCATTCTCGTCGGCAACGTGCAACCGATCAGTATCGCAGACACGATTGAGGCGTTGAAGAAACATGCCCGTACTCTGCACACTCTGGGCTTCAAGAGACGACCTTTGGCCGAGGACAAAGACAACGAGTACGCCATCGCCGACCTCAGAGACTTCGTCTCCCTAGAGAAGCTTTGGATCACCGCCGCGCTGCTAAGTGCAGTCGACGAATCTGGTCAGAAGCAGAAGGCGCCTGCTGAACATCCTCCCACGAAGTGTGAGAAACGGCCCTCTGACGTTGACAACGTCTTTCTGAAGCTTCCAACCTCCCTCAAGAAGCTTCACCTGGACGGCCACACGAAGCACCTCGTCGAGGATTTCCGCCGCTTTTCGCATGGAGTTCAGCGTGGGGACTATTCCATCAACTTCACTCTGTCGTTGAGCCGTACCAGCGGCGCTGGCAAGAAAGTGATCAATATGTTTTACAAGCTGAAGCACCAAGTCGTCGTCGGCGATGGCCGTCCTGTGCTATGGTAGAATGCACGGGCAAAACTCTACCACCAAAGCGGAGCTATGATGACGACAAAAGCGGTTTACTTCCGGGCTTGACAGATGCTAGTGGACATGGGTGACAGAGTGGACGATGACAGGGAAGACTAGCCTACCGACGACGACGACGACGAATACAACGGCGGAGAACAGAGAATACAACAAAGCAGGATAACAACGAAAGATTACAACGGATGGCAATGATGTAGGACAACGAGAACAACGATGACGACAATAATGACGATGAGAATTAGCGAGAATGCATCGTGGTCACTTGATGGCTTGGACTGCGGCGTGAGAAGCCCAACCTGATGTAGTCTGTGGCTCGGGAGGGCATACCTCGGGGAGCAACGCTGTGTGGATCAAGAAGGATCAATAAGATAAAACATGTACTACTTGTTGGATTCAGGTGCATGAAGAAAACAAGTCACGCCACAAATGGCTGAATATAAGGCTTTTCCTTCGATACAGTGTTTCCAAAGATGACAGCCATCTTGGTCAAAATAATGACCACAGTCTTCCATCCCGATATCCTCCAATTAGGGCATTCTCCCCTAGGTATCTTATGCCTAGGCTCCTCTTTCGGAAAGGCTCTACAATGAGGAATACTGGCCGTTCGATTGTGACCACTTGATGAAGGGATTAGTATCCTGAAGAGTTTGAAAGACTGAGACTCTGGTTGGCTTTCTGGAAGAGCATTCGTAGAGCTATGGAGCAGAACGCAATTGTCAATGCATGGGAACCCATCTATCATCTATCGTTTACACATATCCTCGATGTCTATCCTCCACCTCATCTCCTCCAAATCCTCCGCCACCAGGCGTGTTCACCTGCACATACTCTCCAACCCCTAAGTTCACAATCGCCTTGCCACCCAAGTTAATCCTCTCCATCTCACCACCATCCTCCCCCTTCAAGAACGCAAAGTTCTCTCCCCTCATCCCCGGCCCGCCGCCTCCCATGCCGTACGGCCTATACACGCGCCGATCACTCAAAATGCTAAACTTCAACGGCACTCGTGCCTCCACCTCTCTTGTGATGCCGTCTCCGCCCCTCCATCTGCCTTGTCCACCACTGCCCCGTCGGATCTCGTACTTACGTACCAACACCGCCGTCCGCTTCTCAACAACCTCCGCGTCTGTCTGCTTCGTGTTCGTAGAATGCACATGCGTCGAATGCTCGCCTTCATACCCATCCCCAGCACCTACACCACCACCAATGCTCTCGCCGTAGTTCCACCCCTTGGTAACAACCCCCGTAGCAGGATCCTTCCCGCCCATGCCCCAGCCGAAACTATTTGCGCAACCCTGCGACGCCGCACACCTCCCGAAGGCACGCAGGATCACATCAATAACGCGCTGCGAGGCCAGTGTGCTCCCGCAGATAGCTGCTCTCGGGCCCGGGTTGAGCACCGAGCCCGGCGGCACGCGGATCTCCACGGGGGCGAGACAGCCCTCGTTCAGGGGTATATCGACGTCCACCAGGCATCGGACGGTGTAAATGATGGCCGAGTGGCAGATGGAGATAGGGCAGTTGTAGTTCCCCCACATATGCGGACCACTACCCTCGAAATCGTACACGGCAGAGCCCGTTTCGGGATCGATACTGATCTTGACACGCATGGGCGTGCCGTCGTCCAGATAATCCGTCGCCTCAAGCGGGCGCCCGCCGTTCCGCGCCGCGACGACTTTGAAGAAAGACCGCACCGCGAGTTCAGCGTTGTGCTGGATCGCGCCCATGTATTTGTGCACCACGGACAGCGAGGCCTCGGCGCAGAGCTTGCGGAGGAGGGTGATGCCGCGCTGGTTCGCGGAGGTCTGCGCTTTGAGGTCTGAGATGTTGTCGGCCAGCCGGCGGGAGGTGGAGCAGCCCGGGAACGACCCCGCGCGCTCAAAGGCCTCGCGGACCTCGGTCTCGAGGAAGGTGCCGGCGGTGACGATCTTGAGGGAGGGCACGTTGAGGCCTTCCTCCCAGAGCTCGCGGGACTCGGGCATCATGGAGGTGATGCCCTTACCGCCGATGTCGGTGTGGTGACCTCTACTGGCGACGTAAAAGGCGATCTCTTCCTTGCCGGAGGACGGGGAGGGGATGAAGACGGGGGTGACGACGGTGAGGTCTGGCAGGTGTGTGCCGCCCCATTGGGGGTGGTTCGTGAGGAGGACATCGCCTGGGGAGAGTTTGCCGGCCCAGAGGCGGTGTTGGGCTTGGATTGCGAACTGCATGGAGCCGAGGTGGATGGGGATGTGAGGGGCATTGGCGACGAGTTTGCCCGAGGGGGAGAAGATTGCGCAGGAGAAGTCGAGGCGTTCTTTGATGGAGGTGGAGATGGAGGTCCGCTGGAGGGTTGTGCCCATTTGTTCGGCGATGGCCATGAAGCGGTGGGCGAAGACGGAGAGCTGGATTGGGTCGACTGTGGAGGAGGATGAGGAGGGATCTTGGAGGGATGAGGGGAGAGAGTTGGTGAGGGTTTGTTTCTGGAGTAGGACGTGGGAGGTGAGGATGTGCGCGGTAAAGGTTGGAGACACGAAAATGGTCTGGGTCTGGTCGATGATGAGGGCCGGCCCAGGGATGGCGGTGGACTTGGGGATCTGAGGGAGGTGGTAGATGTTGGTGGCATGCCAGGCACCGTCGACGTACACCTGTTGCGTCTCTTGTGGCTCAGGGGGCGACAGCGGTTTTGTGGAAGAAAGCTCCTTTAGGGCAGAAGACTCTGGAGCCTGGGAGCCGGCGCTACCTGTTCCGCGAACCTTGACCGACTCGATCACAATGTCGCGTTTCATTGAGAAAGCGAACTCGCGGAGGTGCGTTGCCTCAAACTTGGCAGCGTAGTCGCCATCCTCGGGCTTGGAGATGGCGAGGTTCGTGTCGGTGCCGAAGTAGCGAAGGACCAGGCTCTCGTCAAAAACCAATGAATTTGCGTCGGCACCCTGGGTTATGAGCTCGTCCGACACCTTAGCTTTGAGCACCGCCAGACGGTCTGCGACATGGGCTTCCGCAGAGGCATCGAGCTTGCTGCCATACGGCTCAAGTGCCTCGTGCTGCAGCTCCGCCTGCGCGATACCGTAGGCGGACAACAGGGATGAGAACTTGTGGATGAGGATGCGGCGGATGCCAAGGCGGTCGGCAATGTCACACGCGTGCTGACCGCCAGCGCCACCGAACGAGACGAGGTGATGGTTCTCAGGCGCGAAGCCGCGGGCCTCAGTCGCGTTGCGAATCGGGCGGGACATAGTCTCGTTTGCGACATTGAGGAAGCCGAGGGCGACGTCGTGCGGCGTCAGGGACTGGTTCGTCTGCGCGTTGAAGTCGGCAGTGATACTGGCAAACTTCTCCGCCACCACGGCAGCATCCAGGGGCTCGTCGGCGTTGGCGTCGAAGATGGACGGGAAGGAGGAGAGCACGAGGCGGCCGAGGAAGAGGTTCGCGTCGGTGACGGTCAGCGGCCCGTTCTTGCGGTAACAAGCGGGGCCGGGATGTGCGCCGGCAGATTCGGGACCGACGGCGAGGAGGCCGTTGCGGGCGAACAGGATGGAACCGCCGCCTGCCGCTACCGTGGCGATGTTGAGCATGGGTACAGTGATTGTGCGGCCGGCGATGGAGGTCTCGGTGAGGTAGTCGTAACGGCCGTCGTAGCGGGAGACGTCGGTGCTGGTGCCGCCCATGTCGAAGCCGATGACGGGGGTGCCGTCGGCCGGGTCGTAGCAAGAGCGGGCGATGCCGACGACGCCGCCTGCGGGGCCGGAGAGGAGGGCCTCATTTCCGCGGAATCGGGTGGCTGCTTTGAGGCCGCCGTCGGAGCACATGAAGTCAACGCGCTGCGGGGGGATGCGAAAGCCCGAGGTGAAGGAGGAGACGTAGCGCTGAATGACGGGGTAGAGATAGGCTTCGGAGCAGGTGGAGGTGCTGCGGTTGAGGAACTTGATGGTCGGAGAAGTTTGGGCGGAGGTCGTCACGAAGGCGAAGCCGAGGGAGCGGGCGAGGTCTGCGACGACATCTTCGTGGGCCGGGTAGAGGTAGGCGTGCATGAAGCAGATTGCGAGGTTGGTGTAGCCCTGCTCGCGGAGGGCGAGGAGTTGAGGGCGAACAGCGTCGAGGTCGGGGGCACGAAGGACGCGGACGAACTCGCCGCTTGGCGTGCGGATGACGCCATCTTGTGATGCCAATGCGTCTTTGGAGAAGTGCTCCGGGTTGAGATCGTAGTCTGCGGGGACGATGCGCTCGTCGACCTCGACAACGGTCTCATGGAGGGCTTTGGGTTTGCGGATGTTGAGGTCGAAGAGCTTTGGGCGGGACTGGTCGCCGATCACGCAGACATCTTTGAAGCCTTTTGTGGTGAGGAAGGCGAAGCACTCGCCCTTATGCTCCAGGAGAGCATTTGTGGCTACTGTTGTGCCGATACGGCAGGATGCTGGTGAGCGAGGTTAGTGAGGGCATTCGGACGAGAGTGATTTCAGGGGTTGAGGTGAGGGGTTACCGATGCGAGAGCCGTCTAATTTCTCACCGACGGGGATGGTCTTGTTCTCGACGGTTGAGAGGATGCGGCGGATCGCTTCTGTTGGTGCATCTGGGTAGTTTGCGGGGTCTTCAGAGAGAAGTTTGAAGATGATGGGATCGCGGCCGTCAATGTCTGCGATGACGTCGCAGAAGGTGCCGCCGCGGTCGATGGCGACCCTGATGTCAGCCGTCATTCTGAGGCTCACTAAGGGTGATGAATTTTCAGTGAGTCTTCGGCGTGTTTGTGGTCTCAGCGCATGAGTTAGGGTAAGATTTGGCGCTTTTCAGTGAGACGACGCTGAGATCATGAAAACTGCTAAATGGGAACAACCCCTGTGAGTCAAACCCCTTGGCAAAGTGAAGGTATTATGCATATATAACACAATCTCACCGACGCATACACCGTCAAGCATTACCCTGCGGCAATTGATGCCGACGGTTGACGGCTGCTTTGCGCTGTGAAAGACCCACAGAGGCGTTTGTCGGACACTCGTCGGGCGGCGCAATTGCGTGCTGGCGGGCGGGCCCCGACGCGGTGGATTCTGTCGGCGCCTCTCCGACGTTAGCATCCTTGGCGAGAAAGATTCTTATCGCCGTCGTCGGCCTTTTGGCGACTCCCGGAATTGGCTAGAATGAGATTATGAAAGGCATCTTGTCCGACTGAGTCTCGGGCAATTGCGCAATTGATCCTACAGAAGACGGGGTTGCGAAGTCCTCCCCGGATCTTCCAACCGAAAGTTGACCCTGGACGCCGCTTGCTTCGCATGAACGGACTCAGAGTGATGGCCTGTGACGGAATTTGTGACCTGTATTCTGAAATCTGTTGACATAGTGAGCCTGGCTTAATGTCGGTATTCCGTTGACGCCCTTACATCGTCGGGTCGAGTTTCCTTTCTATTATACAATTACAACTTCTCTTCGTCCTTAAGCTCGTGAATCAACACGCGAGGTCCCTTCGGAATGATGAGCGGCCCCTGGATGCCCAAAACCCTCGCTCTGGCGTTACCATACCCCTCCTTGAACCTCGAAATCCAGGTGTCCGTGGTGTTGAAGAAGGCGCCATGGGTCCTCTTACTCTGGTCCCAGTAAAGCCTCCGATACCAAAGATGCAAGTTGGGATAATCGTTTCGGATGGTGCCCAAATTGCACTGAAAGATGGGCACATATGCCACGTCAAATCTCGCAATAGTGGGAAACAGTCGTACATCGGCCTCGGTCATGTGGTCTCCCAATAGGAAGGGCCTGTTTTCCAAGATGCTCTCCAAGCGATCTAACGACTGGAACAAATGGTCGACGTTATCCTCATACGCCGTCTGCGTGAACGCAAAGCCGCACTTGTAAACCCCGTTGTTGACGGTGTGGTACACCCAAACATTAATCTCATCGATCTCCTTCTGCAGCTTCTGAGGGTACAGCCCGCCGCCGGGCCTGTTGTCTTCGCGGTCCGCCTCAGGAAGGAGATGGTCGAACTCAGTGTACAGCATGCGAATGATCTCGCTCGACTCATTGCTGACAAGTGTGTGTGCGTTCTTGTCCCAAAGCACGGGCACCGTCACACGGCCCTCATACCCGGGACTTGCCTTGAGGTAGAGCTCCTTGATGGTCTTGAAACCGTACACGGGATCCTCGGGGAGAACACCGTACTTGGCGGCCTCGGGGCTGTCGGTGAAGTGCCAGCCCTCTTTGCCCATGCCCATGTCGGCGATGTACAGGTCAACGTAGTCCTCCAGCCGCTTGAGGGCGCGGACGATCATGACTCTGTGGCACTAGGAGGCGGTCAGCGCCCGTGTAGTTACCGTGAGAGGGGACCTACCCATGGGCATCCTGGGCTAACGTAGAGTGCGTAGCGGCCCTTTTCAGCAGGAAACTGTGAGTTTGGCTCTTTGGTGATGAAGTTGCGAAACTGAGCCTCAGTTCGCTCGAAACCCCCGCCTTTACCGGGCTGGTATCTGATTGGGTCCTTCTATTGGATCGTCAGCCAATTGCACGTTGAAAAGAGCAACTCAGACATGCCTCTTCGCCCATGTTGATGATAGAAAACACTCGGCTTCTATTTAGCTTCGAAAGAAACGTTGATGAAGGTGCAATGGCCTTTGCGCTTGAGCGAGTTGTTGAGTGAACTGAGAAAGATGCAATAAGAACTGATTGAATTATGAAGTCGACGCTCGAAGCCGGCGGGATGTTCAATTAGTTATGGATGCGGTGGAAGGTACAGCTGCAAAGGGCACGCCAGAATTAGTGTGCAGGCTGTTGCAGCATCTGGTGACGTAAATCTCCGTGGAAATTCGACTTCCCCGCAGTTCCCGCGCGGTTCGGAAACCCGAGCGTCGCGTAGCGCGCGGGACAGCGAAGTCTATTTACGGGTTGTCACCCTCCCATACAATTATAAGACGGATATTTGTCAGCTCCGTAATGATTGTGCTAACAAATTGTCGAGTATGGCCTCGTCCGTGTCCGGCCGAATCGAGGCAGCTCGGGATGCCACAGTCAACGGCATCTTAGCCGTGTGCCGGTCATGGCGCCATCCGGCTCGGCATGGCCAGGGTCCGCCCCGCCCCGAGGGTTTTCATCGCCGAGAACGTCACTGCCGGAGCTGCAGGGCTGGACGGGTGGGGTCTCTCTTTCGGCCCTCAAAGACCATCCGGCTTGGTTAGAGGTTTGTGAAGTCTGATATTTAGATTCTGTCAAGAAGACTTCACCTGCCAACTGAACGCGGATAAGACACTTGATGTCTACGGCTTACTTATCTATCATTTGCATCATTAATCACAGCTCCTTTGGTTTCTGGTATCTCTTTTGTCGTCTTCTTTCTATGTTTCCTCCCTAAGCTACTATCTCTAAACTCGCGTGGAAGTACACCTGGATACATACAGACATAGAATATGTGGGCAGTAAAGTCTAGGAAAAAGGACCCCTATCTCGTGGGATTCCTCTTTCACATAGATTAATACTAGGTATGCTTAGGTTTCCTAGTACTTTTTACATACGGATTCAGCAACAAGGCTTCCTTCGATTCCCCATTCCCGAGATTCTTACCCTGTGGAGTCGCAACGACACGAAGCAGTACACCCTCAGTCTAAGCCGACTGACCGTCAGCTCAGCCTGCCGCAAAAGTCCATCCGTCGATAGGCGCCTCCAGCGACGTGTGGTTGTACGACCCCAATGTTCTCGCCAAATTGACCCTCATTTACCCTTTCCATTTCTTCTTGCATGATGCTGCTTATCACATTTTCGACAATGTGCAGTTTCACAACTTCACGATCTTCATATTGGCTAAAAGTAATTGACCCCGCTCCGAGGTAATCTACAGTCATACTTGGCTGGTCATGGGTTCTGAGCGGTCATTATGTCACAATGAGCCGTGGCCGTGTATTTCGTGTACATAATAGCCGATGATAGCTCTCTTCCTTTCCCTTTCTCCCATCGTTTTATTCATCAACTTAGCAAACAATCTCATCTGAACGCTGTTCTGAACGTTTATCTCCTCCAACTGTTTATTAAGTAGGACGAAGCTATGCCGAGAGAAAAAGACGAATCCGACAGCAACCGGAAGAAGTCCCGTGATGGCCATCAGGTAAATCTTTCCCGCCCCCCTACCGCTGCCCCGTTGTCGTCTATGGAGCTTACGCCTATCACACAGAAGGGGTACCAAGGCCAGACCGATCCCATCGATGCCGACCGGACCGTAGACATGACGGAGCGGAACGATACAACCGATGAGAGCTCCCCTATTGCCCCATACACTGGGAATAAGAAATGAGCTCTTGTAGTCGGAGGTTCAGCGCTGAGTCAGAGTGAAGGTTGCGCTGGCAGTGTATTGCTTACTATATTGAAGGGTTGGGGGGGAGGTGGAGATAAGGGTAACTTGTATTGAATCTGGAGACACTCGCTTTAGACCATCATGGGTCTCAAATACATTCTTTTTAACAAGGCATTTGTTGCTTTAAGCCCAATGAAACGGCTTTTGGACCGCCCCTTCAGAATATGTGAGAGTTAGCTGTTCGTAGAAGCCATACCCAAATTAGCAATAGATGGACGTCTCTTCCACCTTTTACATTCATCAGGCACAAAGACAGACAAAGTACCCAATGCCTCAAGAGGATTTGTACAGTTTAGTACAGCCTGATGCGTTTTCATGCATGCGAGCGCGCCTGCTTACGGACACGTCCGACAAGGTGCGGTGGCACATTTTCATGTTGACCAGGAGTACCAGTAATGAAGCCTGCCACAAACTGGCGCATGCATCTCTGTCTGGATATAACCCGGAACCTCATCTATCAGAGGATAGCTCACATATAACGATGCTCAAAAATTCCTGTTAGGCAGTTATTCCCGACCAAAGTGCAATATCGCAGCCTCACTTTTCCCATGTTGACCAATACCTAGGCTCATCACTGTTTGGCACTGCAGCACAGTCCTTGGCTGCATTCAGTTTAATGTATGGCTAGTTAGGTTGGGTAAGCGGGAGGTATTGGACTAGGAGGCATACCTATTTGTTGCCGTGTCTCCCGCGTTATGGTTTTCTCCTTCTCGATCAACCCTTCACTCAGCCCAGTCGTCACATCCATTCTCAATTACGTCTATACCATCGCATTCCTCCGTTAGCGACGCGCCATAGGCATTAAATAGTGCCCTGCAAATAGACGACTGGCTGCAGTCCATGGTGACCAGGCACAATATAGTTCTCTCCTCCCTTGCCGGTTGTTTTCGCACCCTCCGAGAACAATTCGTCGCCATGATCCAGCTCCACTGGAACCTACTTCCACCTTTCAATATTCATTAGAGCCGGCTTAGACCATCTCCGGGCGTGTTCCCAGTTCCGACCTGGAGGTATGACGCCTGGCTTCTAAGCGGCTTTCGGAGCCATCGGCTCTTATCTCGATTTTGAAGGATGCGGTTATATCAGCCGATCACCGCACAATCTAAGCATACCTTGAGATGTTCACGATGAACTTACCGCGACGAGATAACGTTATCACCAAAAAATGACAGCTGTGTATATGAATCAGGTTACGCTCGGAAATTGATGTTCGAAACGGGAACTAGAAAGCCGAGGGCACGCTCATCTAAACTACCCTTGGTAAAACTTCGTCCAGAATGACCTAGTATCCCCCATCCATACGGAAGGAATAATGCTGCCAAGAAAGCTTGATTAACTCATTTAAATACCTAAAGTTTGAGCCCCTTCCGGAATGAACTTACCTCCCTCTCTCCGCTGGTCGGTGTATGCATCCACAGCAGTTCAACAACATTAATGTTAAGCCGATGTACATTTTGAGGTAGCTACGTCGCCTGTGCTTAGATGAATTGAGTTGTCAACTGCTTTTATCAGTTGCTGAAGTTGCATATGTAGGACATGAGTGATCCAACGCGCCAGTGGAAAGTAATCAACGCGTATTAATGAATTCCCTTATGCTCGGGCCACTGATGGCTTGTGTACTTTGAAAAGAGTTTACGGGCCCAAGTGCAGAGGGTCAAACGCGGCGAGAAGTCGCCGAGTCGCGACCATGACTCAAAGAATTTGGGTTTCTTCTAAATTGCAAGGCGAACGATGACCCGTTCCTAAGGCCCTTTCTATCACCGAGGCTTCTGTCATGTATCACGTACAGCTAAGAATCAACATAACTATTTAAACAGCAGCATGTTGCCCAGCTGCTCAAGTGCAACACCAGTTTATCACTAGTCCTTCGTTTTCAAGTTCTGCAGGATCGCTCTGTCTCCAACATGAAATTCTCCATCTCTGTCGCTACCGTCATGTCTCTCATGAGCGCCGCTCTGGCGGACGACTTCAACCTTGTGTGTTGGGGTACTAGTGTTCCTGACAATATCAAGAGGGGAGACCTTGAGTGGGCTATCAAGAATCGCGTCACTGAACTCGGCGTGCCTGGAGGCACCACCTTCCCGTATAATTTCCACACTTGTACGGATCTTGAGAACAAGTCTCATGAGATTGCGGTCATTGTCACACCCACCAGTAAGCGTCCCTGTTGGCTGTTGAAATGACAGTACTTCCCGCACCAGTTACACCACACCTTTGCGCCAACCTTTCACCCAAAACTTCGTTCGTTGCGATATTTTGCGGGTACTATTATGCTAATGGCCGCTTTTAGTTACCAGAAAGGGATTCGTCAAGCTGGCAAATGGGAATATTGAATGCAACGCTCTAGGACCTAGGAATTGGATCTGCCCTCGACACGCGTGGTAAAATGTGGAAAGATTTGAGCGATCGCATCGATTTTTACGTATGATTATCTCTCATGTGCAAGAGACAACGCTTTTTCTGTGTGCTCGCAACTGCCGTCGCTGCCGCCGCCTCTGATTATTATGATATGCTATCGTCATTCAAATGAAGGCTTATATTCGTTCAGAATACACGATATCTAATCGCGTAAACACAAAAACGATGAGTGTTTCTTTACATAACATTCAGAAGAGTCGTGTTGGGTACACTCGTTAGATAGCCATCGCCGGATTTCGTCTCGCTGGAAACCTATCCAAATTGTGATGTTAGCGGACACTTAGCATCCTTTCCATTTCTTCCGCCTACGTAAATCCTCCGCTCTTATGGTTCCTGTGATTTCTCCATATTGGGGCACTGAAGGTCCGACTAAGTTACATCGGGCGGTTGTCTTTGCTTGTAACATACATCTATCCAACCAACCGGATCACATGCTCCAGACCCGCCCCGAAAAGAAGCCCTTTCTGTCTGAAATCTTCCTGCCAATCAATCATAACGTGGATACAGAGAGTTTGTAGTACGCGGCTATGGCCCCGTAAGCAGAGTCCGAACTTACGTCAGCTGGAAGCCAGGGGGCTCTTCTACTTAAATTGTCAGCCGGCAAGCATTTTGAAGGAAGTTCATAAGCCTTCCCCCCTTCCCATCCGTACCTTTCAATCTAAAACAACATGTCGAGCAAAGGCATCGTTCTTGTCAGCGGCATCAATGGCTATGTTGGCGGTCGAACCGTCGAGGCTCTGCTCAAAGCGGGTTACCGCGTTCGCGGGACGGTTCGATCAATACCTTCAGCCCAAGCGACTGTCGAAGCATTAGCCGGATATGAGCAAAACCTGGAGATTGTTGAGGTCGCAGACACATCCGTTCTCGGCGCTTTTGACGAGGTTGCCAAAGGCGTTGAGGGCATTGCCCATCTGGCCCAGCCCGTCACCGACAACTTTGGAAGCGATCCGCAACGTGTTATTAGCCAGATCAGAGACGCCACGACGGGTCTTCTGGAGTCGGCTACCAAAGTTGGGTCCGTCAAGACGGTAGTCCTGATGTCGTCAGCCGTGGCCGTGTTCTCTCCAAAGGATCACCCGTACATCTACACCGAAAGGGACTGGAGTGACTCTTGGGTGGAGATTATGAGAAAGATGGGCGCCGAATCGCCTCCGGGGCTACCGTACTTGGCAAGCAAGGTGGTGGGTGAGAGAGCCTTTTGGAAGTTCCGGGATGAAAGGAAGCCGTCGTTCTCAATGACTGCTATCAACCCTTTGTAAGTGCTTAGAGGCATCATCATGCAGCTGAGGTCCTCTACTAACAGAGCGATAGTTTCGTAAGCGGGCCGCCCCTCACCAGGCCTCGCTCCCCAAGCAACATCTCAAGCTCGTGCATGTTCATCTGGAGATACTTGAATGGTGAAGAGCTTGTGGGGCCCATGCCGGATTGGGACTACTGGGTTGATGTCCGGGACGTGGCGAAGCTGGTTGCCTGGGCCTTCGACCATGGCGACGAGGCGGACGGCGAGAGGTACATCTCAAAGACGACATGGGCGCCACCTCAAGCGACGGCCGACATTCTTAGGCCAGCGTACCCTACTCTTTCTATAAAGCAGGGTCGTCCAGGCGAGGGTTATTTGCCAGGTTGGAAGACACCGCGGGAGACTGACGTTGATGGATCCAAGGCGCTGAGGGTGATTGGTGGAGACTACGTTCCATATGACCAGTCCGTCTTGGATACGGCAAAATCCTTTGAGCCGTTGATGAGAAAGCTTTGAATTCTCCAAAAGGATTTCATTCGGTTCGATCATTGTTATTCCATCTTCATGTATGTAACGTCAACCACCGCACTACCCACGTCCTTCAAAAATACGTACAAGCTCAAGCAACCGCGGATAAAAGTCTGAGTTTCCAAACGATGGCCTCAGGACTTTCATTTTGTCCCCTGTTCTCTTTCTCTTTCCTTGCGCATAACAGCCATAATGACTTGATCTTGTGCCCAGGCAGGTAAGAGGCTGGAGCCGAGCTGTTGCAGTGCGTGAGCCCAGTACCCAACGACTATCCCATTGCCACGGCCAGATTGTGCCAATGCTGCCCGGGCCATGGTCTGGGAGTCCGGCGTAAACAGAGATGGAGGCTCTTTGCAGTGTGAAACATCCGTGACCCTCCCTATTCTAATGCCTAATATTTCGACCTGTTTGTCGCCATCATCGAGTCTCAACTCGAGGCCCACGGCACGCGTCATATTCATGAGAAATTGCTTGCTGGCGCTGTAAGACGCCAGCAGAGGAAATCCTTTGTCTGCCATCGAGCTGATATTCATCACAAGGGCTGGCGCGTTCCTGCGGAGGATGGGTAGAAGCACCCGCGTCAGATGAAGCGGAAAGAGTGCGTTTAAGCTGACGTTGCCGGTGATCCTGGCAGCAGAGGATTCGCTGAGAGGCAAGCAAATCGGATTGACCGCGCCATCCCCTGCATTGTTGATGAGTACGGTGAGGTGCAAATCACTAAGGTCTGCTTGGATGGCATTGAAATCGAGGGAAATTTGCGAAGAATTGCCCGTTGAACTTGGTTGCTCAGACACAATGCAGTTCGTGCATGGCACAGTGCTTGCGTCTGCGATCAACAAACGGAAAGACCGTTCGGGGTGTGTTGCTTGCAGTCGAGATAAGGCGACAGACAACTTGGTATGGTTTCGTCCATGAATTACCACATTAAACCCTCGCATTGCCAGCTCGTGTGCGAGAGCGTGTCCTATGCCATCTGAAGCGCCCGTTACCAGCGCCCAGGGCGCATTGCCGTTCGAGGATGTAAGTCAACGTACCCACTTCCGAAACACCCCCCCATGCGAAACAATAAAAATGCCTCACCGCCACCACCAACCTCCCACTTTCACTAACAACAATATTTTGAATCCTCATCCAAATAACCTCATCTTTCGCACAGCAGTT